GGTGCTGCCCAGGGCCAGAGGTCAGCTGGTACCTGCCCTTCCACACCAGACATTCATGCTTTGATCACAGGCCAGGCCTAGAGACTGCACCTGTGCACTCATTTCATGCACTGGGCCTCTAGTGTAAAATAACAAAAACCTGGTCAAACATTTGCCAAGCAAGAGTCCATCCCTGTAGCAGCAGCCCAGGGAGACCTCCTGCTTTCCTCCAAGTGCTCCACCCACCATTCATTTTTGTCTCCTTAATAAATGAGATGTAGAATCCCTGAAAGCAGTGGGGGGCCAAGGCAGGGAAGGCAGGATGTCTGCACAAAGGTGGCCCTAGGATTGATCTGACACGTGACTGCCTGGGCAGGCCTCCCGTGGATGGGCCAGCCCTGAGCTAGAAGTCCCTGGGAGATGATGGATGGTTTTGCACTGACTTTCTGAAAGGAAGGTGCCTGTGGAGAGAGGTCCCAATTTGCAGTTCTTTTGTGCTTTTGATTCTGTGAGCACTGACCTCTAGCTCCCTCTTGTCTCCTTCTTTCTCTCCTCCCCCACATAATTCTATAATGCCTAGAGAGAATCAGAATAAAAATAAAGAATAATTAGGGTCAAAAGACCAGAGGGCCCATCTCTGATCTGTCTTGTGTGGCTGATGAGGCCTTAGGCCCCAGCATATGTGACAAGACATCGATGGAATCGATGAGGCTAAATGAAAACGTGCAGAACATCCATGTTTTACATGCAGCCATTGGGAAAGAGGAGGCCCAGCCAGCAGGGTCTGGAGGAGCATGTAAAGGAGGAATTGGCCTGCAAGGCTCTGCGACAGGAAGCCAGCAGGAGCCGAGGGAAACCCAGGCACGAAATGAATAGAAGGAACACTCAAACCAGATAAACACTGAGCACAGGGCTTCTTTGTTTAGGTTGGAGGGGGCTTTTATGTGATTATCAAGAGTGTGTTCATTTTATAAAGTTAGAAAACAAAGGAACCCTAAAACACGGTGGGACTTTTGCTGAATGGGTGAACGCATGTAGGCGAGTCCCACGTTTAGTGAACGCATGTAGGCGAGTCCCACGTTTAGTCCCACGTTTAGGGATGAGGCCTCACTGCCAGGCTTTACCTGGGCTGTGTATGCACACTCTACACCTTTCGGTAGCCTAAGACACCGCACAATAGCAACTCAGTGCCTCACCTGGGCAAACTCAACTGCTGACAGGCAGACATGACTGCCCTGGCTAATGGGTTGGCATGCTCATTCCTACTGGGCTTCAGTCAAGTCATTTAGACACTGTTTAAGGCATAAACCAGGATTTTAAAATTTTTTCCTAGTTCATTGACAGAAGATTACTGTATATATTGAACAAAGCTTCAATGCTTCTTTAAATCCAGAGAATGAATAATTTGAACATTTCCCTCTGACAATTCAGCTTTTCATCTTCATGAAACCTCACTCAACATTTCAATAATGCTGTTTTTAATTAGCTACTTCCTGTCCAGTTAATAAAGCTGAAGTACTGAAGTCGTCCACTACAGTCCTAAGTCACCTGTTCAAGACTGATGTTCTTTGTTCCTCCCACCTCCACCTCTACCTCTGCCTCAAGCCCACAGAACCAAAGGGATGAAGCAGAGGGTTCATCTGAGTGGCACTGTAATTACGATAATAGCTGATACTTACATGGCAATTACGACGTGCCAGGATCTGTTGTAAGTGCTTTACGTGCATTAACTAATTTAACCTTCACATGACACTATGAGGTAGGGACTATTATTATCCTCATTTTACGTGTCTAGGGGGTCTCTGGAGTGGCTTGCTCAGGGGAACTACACAGAAAAAGGGGAGAGAAGAAATGTCCTTAGTTCAAGGACATTTACTCAGGATTGGAGGTTTGAAGAGATTCTGAGCCCAGCTTGTTTCTCAGTCAGCTTCTCCTGTGGTCCGGCTTCTCCTAACCCAGGCCTAGAACTAAGTTTTAAGGAGCTGAAACGACAGGTAAAGTCTCTCTGGGTCCTATGTGTAAGGAGAGTGCTCAGGGGACTGGTGTCTCGCTCCAGTCTAGGAAACTCGGAAGACAAGAGGTAGTCAGTGTATGACTTTGGAGGAAGAGTAAGACAGAGTCACTGCTTTGGCGGGGCAAAAAATGCTTAAGCATTTTTCATGGACTAGAGGTGGCCAATACAGGAGAGCGAGCTGGACTAGAACTAAGTAAAATCCCACACAAAAGAACTGCCAGGGAGGATGGAGTGTTCCTTGAAAATACTGCCAAAGAGAAGGACTGAGGGCAGGACAGCTGACCAGAGAGTCACTGGTCACTGGTAGTCCCTTCAGGGGCCTCTAAAAGCCCACCCAAGCATGCACGCTCCAGAAAGAGCCTCAAACACTTAGTGCCAGAACATTACAGCTAGGTCCGGGCAGTGCTTTTCAGGTTTTGACTTTCCAGGCCCCGTACTCTTCTCCCTCCTAATCTTCCAAGGTTTGAAGGGTCAGAAACGATATCCCAGGCAGTATGGGAGAGGTCTACAGGAGGGTGGATGGGTGGTGATCCAGAACTCATCTTCCTGTCTACAACAAAAGTCTGTCTCAGAGATGGCATGCTTCTCACCAGGGAGGTTTCACTCCGTTACAGACCTCTTTGCAGTGCTATTCTTCCTTCTTTTGACTCATTACCATCATCTGATAGCTTTTATTGTGTTAAAAAAAAAAAAAAAAGTCAACCCTTTAACCAACATCCTCTTTCCTCTGTCCCCTCACTTATCTCCTCTAAAGGAGAAGCATATTTAATAAATATACCCCACTTTACTAAGTGCCAATTAAAAAGCTGTACGTAAAGAATTACAAAAATTCAGAAGGTTGGAGAGGTCACTTTTAACAGGGTTGTTTTGAGAAAATTTTGGAGAAGATGCCAAAAGAAATAGGACTAAAACAAAAATAGAATTAAGTTAAAAGCTTGTAGGCAACAAAAATGATTTAGATATGTAAAGCAATAAAAAGGTGAGAGAGAGAATGGAGCTTGCCTATTAGTTTGGGCATAAACTTTCATATGAAGCTATGCCAAGGACTTTTCATCTTTACCATGTCTCTAACCTGCACGTGTACTTTATAAAAAGCACAGACCATGTGCCTCTACAATGTCTCCTAATTACATGCTTCCTTTCTAGCTGGTAACTTCACCCTAGAGACAACTTCACAGATGAGAATTTAGGGGCGAATAAACATTATAATTAATGGCATTCTCTGAAACGGTGTCTTAAGTAAACCTTCTTAATCTCCTCTGTCATTTGATATTTAATATTTATTTAGCATCAAGAGAATGAACTATTCTTTTCCTTCTTTTCCTTCCAAAACAAAGTCACATACTATGCACATGTTAATTTGCAAGGATTACTACTGCATTGTTCTTCTCATTTTTTGTTTATATTCCTTTTTCTTAAAGTTGCATGAGGCAAAAAAGCTAGATGGATTAGTGGATTTCTAGTCTTAAAAGATAAAAAATCACTTGGTTAAAATCAGAGAAGATATATTAACAGTTCTAGGGGAGCTATTTCATTTTAAAAAATATATATATTTTCTTGATTTTTTTACAGAGAGGGAGAGGGATAGAGAGCTAGAAACTCTGATGATAGAGAATCAGCTGCCTCCTGCACACCCCCTACTGGGGATGTGCCCACAACCAAGGTACATGCCCTTGACCGGAATCGAACCCGGGACTCTTCACTTCGCAGGCCGATGCTCTATCCACTGAGCCACACAGGTTTTGGCTAGGGAAGCTATTTCAAAAGTCATCTAAAAACTAAGCTGAATCAAACAAGATTTACTTCAGAAAGATAGTTTATGATTAAATGTATATGTAAAGATATCTTGGGCTCCATACCAAAGGCTGCTTCAGGTTACCTTTTAGCTACATTTTCATATCCTACTTTAAGTATTTACAACCTAGGACCATGGCCGGCAAACACATGTGGCTCTTGGCCCCTTGAGTGTGGCTCTTCCAAATACGACAGCCTGGGGGAGTCTATTTAGAAGAAGTGGCATTAGAAGAAGTTTAACTTTAAAAAATTTGGCTCTCAAAAGAAATTTCAATTGTTATACTGTTGATATTTGGCTCTGCCGACTAAGGAGTTTGCTGACCCCTGGGTTAGGAGAACTGGGAACTATAGTTTAAAAAATAACAACCCAAAACCAATATTTATAAGGGGAAATGAATGTCTTATTTAAAATGAACTGTAAAAGAATGAACCATAACATGTAAATCTTTAAATATCGTGAATTAGGCAAAAAAAAATACTGTGGGCAGAAGAGATAGACAAAACAAAAAAAACTTCTAAACTCAGACAATCCAAATTCATATAACTGCTCTCCTGATGTGATGACGGAAAAAAAGGACATTTCAAACTCAAAGACTATAGTGTTTTACTATTCTATACAATAAAAGACTAATATGCAAATCAAAAGAAGGGTGGAACGACCAGTCGCTATGACGCACACTGACCACCAGGAGGCAGATGCTCAACACAGGAGCTGTCTCTTGGTGGTCAGTGCACTCCCACAGGGGGAGTGCCGCTCAGCTGGCTCATGGCTGGTGAGCATAGCGGTGGTGACAGGAGCATCTCCTGCCTCTGCTGCAGGCAGGCAGTAAGGAGTAAGGGGTCCCAGACTGTGAAAAGGCACAGGCTGGGCTGAGGGACCCTCCCCCACTACCCAGTGCATGAATGTGTGCACGGGGCCTCTAGTTACAGAGCATAAAATTCTTCCCAAACTCTTATATATATGTACATGAGCCTAGAATTAGCCTCTTATGTCCTAGGTTATTAAAATGTATACATTTAAAAATAAATATATACAATATTTTAAAACAAAAACCTTCAAGAACACATTTAAGCACTGCCATCTAAGGGATTCAGACACCATGTAACATTTAGGATATACAGCATCTGGAAGATTAAACATTCTTGCTTGCTTGTTACTTCGAAGTCTTCATTATACACAGGTTGCTTCTTGCTTGGGGGACCAAACCCAGTTTCATTTTCTCCAGTACTATAAAAATTAACAACACAAAGAAACAAAGAAAAATAATTAGCTTCAATGTTCACACTGAAAGATAAACAATAGTTATAGATTTATAAGATGCTTAGAACGAGATAAACGCGTTCTTTTTACGGAAAAAAAAAAAAATACCCTTAGCTTATTCTAGTCCTTTAAAAAACCAGTCTTCTGTAGCATGGTTCAGTGGTTGGGGGCCGACCTATGAACAAGGAGGTCATGGTTCTATTCTTGGTCAGGGCACATGAAGGCTCAATCCCCCAGGGGGAAAGGGGGGTTGTGCAGGAGGCAGCCAATAAATGATTCTCTCTCATCATTGATGCTTCTCGTTCCCTTCAACTCCAAAATTATAGAAAAGGAAAATTAAAGAAATGATTAAAGACCCAAATAAGCTTTTGATGACACAGTGGATACTGGGTGAGGGGGAAGTCCAAGCAGACAGGCTTTGAGCTTGGAAAATTAGAAGTCAGGAAGGAGTTCACAAGGAGAGGCATGAGAGGGTGGAGAGGAAAGAGGCCTACTTTTTCTGTCTGCTAACCATATTCTTTTTTTTTTTTTTTTTTTTTTTTTTTTTTTTTTTTAAATCAATCTTTATTGTTCATATTATTACAAAGGTTCCTCATTTCTTCCCCCCTCCACCAGGTTCCCACCCCACCCTCTGCCCCCTCCCCATACCCCATTGTCCTCATCCATAGGTGCAGTTTATGTTCAGTCTCTTCTTCCCTCAATTTCCCCAATAGTAAATCCCTTTTCAGATAGTAAATCAGTTACTTAGCATTTTCTCATATCAATAATACCTCCACATGCCCAATGATACACTTCACACAAAAGACATTTCCCAATAGGTCCACCAGCCTCATCCAGGCCCCACCCAAGGCACTCACAGATCAACACCCCAGTCCTAAACTAACTCAACACATCCAGATCTAAGCCTTCATCACTTGATTCAGCAGACCCTCAAGTTTCCATGAAAGTTTCCAGCCATGTCTGAGTAGCAGCTGTGGGGCAGGGGCAGGCAAGGAGCGAGCTGTTCTGGGCCTGGCTGCTCAGGGCCTGGCCTCTGTTGCTCTGGTTCATTCCACAACCAGCTGCTCCGGGTCTGGTCACTGCCGCTCCCGACCTAGTTGCTCTGGACTTGGCTGCTGCTGCTCCGGGCCTGGCCGCTCCCAGCCTGGCAGCCGCTGCTCCGGGCCTGGCCGCACCAGCCCCGCCTGCTCCCCCGGGCCTGGCCGCTCCCAGCCTGGCAGCCGCTGCTCCGGGCCTGGCCACACCAGCCCCGCCTGCTCCCCCGGGCCTGGCCGCTCCCAGCCTGGCAGCCGCTGCTCCGGGCCTGGCCGCACCAGCCCCGCCTGCTCCCCCGGGCCTGGCCGCTCCCAGCCTGGCAGCCGCTGCTCCGGGCCTGGCCGCACCCGACCCGCCTGCTCCCCCGGGCCTGGCCGCTCCCAGCCTGGCAGCCGCTGCTCCGGGCCTGGCCGCACCCGACCCGGCTGCTCCGGGCCTGGCCGCTCCCAGCCTGGCAGCCGCTGCTCCGGGCCTGGCCGCACCCGACCCGCCTGCTCCCGCGGGCCTGGCCGCTCCCAGCCTGGCAGCCGCTGCTCCGGGCCTGGCCGCACCAGCCCCGCCTGCTCCCCCTGGCCTGGTCGCTCCCAGCCTGGCAGCCGCTGCTCCGGGCCTGGCCGCACCCGACCCGCCTGCTCCCCCGGGCCTGGCCGCTCCCAGCCTGGCAGCCGCTGCTCCGGGCCTGGCCGCACCAGCCCCGCCTGCTCCCCTGGGCCTGGCCGCTCCCAGCCTGGCAGCCGCTGCTCCGGGCCTGGCCGCACCCGACCCGCCTGCTCCCCCGGGCCTGGCCGCTCCCAGCCTGGCAGCCGCTGCTCTGGGCCTGGCCGCACCAGCCCCGCCTGCTCCCCTGGGCCTGGTCGCTCCCAGCCTGGCAGCCGCTGCTCCGTGCCTGGCCGCACCCGACCCGCCTGCTCCCCCGGGCCTGGCCGCTCCCAGCCTGGCAGCCGCTGCTCCGGGCCTGGCCGCACCAGCCCCGGCTGCTCCCCCGGGCCTGGCCGCTTCCAGCCTGGCAGCCGCTGCTCCGGGCCTGGCCGCACCTGACCCGGCTGCTCTGGGCCCGGCTTCCCCGGGCCCGGCCGCTCCGAGCCTGGCCACTCCCAACCTGGATGCTCTGGGCTTGGCTACTGCTGTTCTGGGTCTGGCTGCTCTCACCCCGGCTGCTCTGGGCCCGGCTTCTCCGGGCCCGGCCACTCCGGGTCTGGGTGTTCCTGGACTGGCCACCCTGGGCTTGGCCGCCTCCACCTCATGCCTGGCTGCCACTGCCCCAGGTCTGGCTACTCCAGTGCTGGCTGTTGATGCTCTGGTTCTGGCTGCTGTTGTTCTGGTGCCTGGCCGTTGCTGCTCCGGGTCTGGCTGCCACTGCCTTGTGCCTGGCCACTCTAGGCCTGGCCACCGCTGTTCCAACATTCTGTCCCTTTTTTTTTTTCTTTTTTCTTTTTAAAACGCATTTATGTTACAATGTTGGCTGGTGAGTTGAGTTCTGACTTAGTCTTTGATTTTTCAAGATCTTCTTTGTATTCTTTCTTAAGTAATTTTCCTATTTTTTGCTCTCACTTGATTTCTTCACATTGAGAACTTCTTTGGTTTCTTCCTCCTTGTCCTGGGAGCTCAGCATGCTAACCATATTCTTAATCATCATTATGAAATCCATAATTAAAACGGGTTTTTAAATCTGAGGCTTACCAGCATCAGCTAGTACGGAGAGGTCTCCCCTCATCAGACATTTGTATGAAAGATGTTGCTAACAACAAGTCTTCGGATACACCTTTTCAGTGTGTGGTATGCATTGCTTTTCTCAGCCTCGAAATCCTTCCCTAAGACTTCACCATTCACCAAAACTTAATAAGTGTTAAGTCTCAGCTGCCACGGCCTCCACTAAACCCAAAATCATTTGCAAGAAGGGCTTATAATCATCACTGACCACAAGGGACAAAGACACCATGTTGACATTCCACTACAGAATGAAAGAAAATGTAAGTGGGATGCTTGAGAGTTAACTGTACATGAAACATGTTCACATCAGATTGTCAGTGAGATATCCAAAAAGGCTTGACCCCCCTAAAACATCCCAGAAGAGACAGGAGCTGGCATGAGGAGTGTGGCTCCATGAGGACTCGGGGCAGCAGGCGGAGAAGCGGGAGAAGCACGCTTCCCTCGGAACACGGACCTGGGCAAACTTGTGAATCTGTTCCACCACCGCAGCAAACAGGGCGTGGACGCTCTCGTCAATCAGACTCTGCATGTAATGCACCGCCTCCTCGTCCGACAGGTCCAGGCGGAATTTATCCTGCACCTGCAAGGCACAGTCCGTTAGTGTTCTGAACAAGAAAACCGGGCGTATTTCAAAGATACTTAAGTGGATATAGACAATACAATGCAGCATGAGCTATCTCTACACCAAAGAAATAATTTGTGACTTATAAGGAATTCTGAAAACTGTTCATTTGAGGGTGGAAGTTTACTGTTTTTGCTATATGCTCTTTAAAAAGATCTTTTTTTTATTTTTTATTTTTTTTTAATAATATATTTTTATTGATTTTTTACAGAGAGGAAGGGAGAGAGATAGAGAGCTAGATACATTGATGAGAGAGAAACATCGACCAGCTGCCTCTTGCACACCCCTTGCCAGAGATGTGCCCGCAACCAATGTACATGCCCTTGACCGGAATCGAACCTGGGACCTTTCAGTCCGCAGACCGACGCTCTACCACTGAGCCAAACCGGTTTCGGCTAAAAAGATCTTTCTATTGATTGATTGGCTTTTAGAAAGAGAGGAAGAAAGGACCAGTTATGTCAGAACTCAGGGCTCTTGGTGCCAATTACTATTTTCCACCACCAGAGAAATTCCATCACTGACACTGCTAGTGCCCTTTAGAAAGTTTAGAATTCAAGTTAAAAAAACTCTACTATCTTTCTTTGAAGCTGAATACTGATAATCATAGTGATATTTAAGATCATCTTGTGTTATTTTTGGGTAAATAAAGAACTTTACATACACACCCCTTCTTCATGAATAAAGAGTCAGATATTGATTAGAATAAAAATCTTCAAATCTATTATCCTTCCTTTTATCTCTTGCTGAAACTCATAGTAAGAGCTTGGAATAACTGTTCACCTACATGATGGATTTCCTGTGTTCTCTTTACAGGCTGAGAGAAAAAGCAGGAGAAACCCCTGTGACCATGGGTATGAGTGGGAAGGACAAACAATGGTTGATTTCTCCTAAATGCTATTGAAATATTTTGCTTCTGAGCCTAGCATGCTTAGCCTGGAGTCCCAGGAACCAGGTATCCTAATAGGATATTAAAGAAGTGTGAAACTATTTAGGACAGTAGAAAGCTTTCTCTCCAAATACAGTGACCTATTCTTGTGACTGTGGGTATGAACTGGGAGGGGGCAGAGCTGAGAGGCTGCTGTATTATGGAATACGCAGAAAATTATCCATAAGGTCTCTGTCTTAAAATTTATTACTTAAGAATGTAGGGGCCAAGAAAACAAGGGGAGATGGGTTGTCAAATCTTTCATATATGAAAAGTAGACTGCGATGTGCGAGGATGTATAGAAATTACCTTTTTCACAGTTTTGTCTGGTTCAAGAGCAATATCTGGAATGTTTGCATCCACCATCAAGGAAAATAAGTTCAAAATTAGATTAGAATACCTAAGGGTGATTGGGAAAAAATAGCAATTCGTTAGAATTTTGCAGTTTTGCTCATATAAAAAACACTCCTAGAAACAGTAGTACCTGGATCTCTATAACAATCCCTGCTGCCCCGAAGGAAAACGGAATGTGAGGCTATTCACCAGCTGTCTCAAAGGAAAGCAAGCCTCGAAAAAATACCTTACTCCAGGGTCTTGATATAATGCCATTTTCAGGCCCTACACTATGGGACAAACTTTTGGAGTAATCACCTGATAATGACTTTTTTTCTCTTCAGTTTTTAGGGAGTACATTTTTTTTAATGGGGTATATTCCTAATTAGCATTTGGCAAAGCAATGAAGACCTGCCTTTGCTAAATGATGACAAGGACCTGCCATGCTAAGACCACCTCAGTGCCAGGGATAAATGCATGAAAGGGAAACACTGCGATCCCACTAACCATTCGGGATACCCTCGAGAGACACGAATCACCATTTTAGAAACCACAGTGACTGGGCTGATAGAAGCAATGCAAAATGAAAGAGAAAACAGCTAGTACCCTATAGTATTAAAAATGGACAAGATATTAAAATATCATCATCTTTGGATTATGCTGAACCTGATAGGAACTATAGGTTTATCCTCACCAAACCTCAAACTTGCACCTTACTCCAAACAGAGAAGGAGTGCTACTGTTCTACACGCTCATTCAGAGGTGGAGTCCAGGGGATGGGGCAAATGAGTGCACAGAGGCACAATCCACCCCCTGCCCCAGACCCGCTCCTGGAACAGCCATGCTCTCAGTGGCCCCTCAGCACGCTAGTGGTGAAAGGAGTTCGGATTGAACTTCGGAGGTGGGTGTGAGTAAGACAGCTTTGGATGCAGGTGATACAGGTGTTTAGCTGGTCTCAGGAGAAGGGCCAACATACGTTCCCTGCACTGTCCTCTCTAGGGCATGGAGGCCAGGAAGCAGGAGGTAGAGAGTCCTCATTTCAACCACCTGCCTATCCATAGTGTGAAAAAGCTCAACCTGTGACATAAAAACCATTTACTACTGGAACTGCACTGATAATGAACTAAAGACAAAAATGACTAAACACACATAAACCTCAAATTACCTAATATGAATATTTTATATTACTCATGAAAGCCAAGAGGGACTATAATGAAAATTTCTACCTTGATATAATCCTCTCATAAAATTAGGCCCTAACTCATTGATTCTCTGTGGGAAAAGTATGATGATATCAAAAACAGTTTTAACTTAGCTTGAAGTTACTGGTTTCCTTGTGGGAATTGATAAAAAGCATATCACGATGTCATTTCCCTTCTACTCAAATAGTTTTATTCATTCAACCAACAAATATTTACCAAGCACTCACTCTCTGCACTGCTCTAGACACGAAGGACATAGTGGTGAACTGAACAATCAAGGCTCCTACATTCACGAAGCTCACATTTGGAGGAGGATGGGAGCTCATACAATAAACTGTTTAAGAAAATAATGTCCTACCAGGGTGACTGATACAAGATTTAAAAAATAAAGTAAAATAGGAAACGAACGAGGTGGGGAGTCACCTTAAGAAAGTATGATTTTATTCTAAATGTTGAGAAGTCAGTGAGTTTGAAGAGTGGAGCAGCACACGGAGATCTGCATTTCTGAAAGCTCACAGTGGCCAACTTGTGGGGAATTAACAATGGAGGTGGAGGGGGGCAGTGGTAAGATATGTACACAGATAATAATTTAATAAAAAACAAAACAAACAAACAAAACAAAAAACAATGGAGGCAAGGGCATTTTCAGACTCCAGGGGAAAGAGAAACAATATGGAAGTGATCGAGCTATACTCCGGGGATGGAGTGGGTGACACACAGGTGGAGGTGGGAGAGAGAACAGGGGCTGAATCTCAGGACGGATTTAGCCTAAGAAATGGGAAGGTGTGGTTACCCATCAAAATAATAATGAAGAACAGGATTTAGGGCAGGAAATCAGGAATTCCATTTTAAACATACTGTGCCTGAGATGCCTGCTAAGTTCACAGCAACGATAGGCAGTTGGGTGTATCTCAGAGGAGCTATCAGGGCTAACGGGATTAGTTTGGTGTCATCAGCATTTGGATCCTGTTTAAAGTTGTACGGCTGGATTAAATGCTTACGGAGAGTGTTAAGGGAAAAAAGTTTAGAACCCATAGGCTGCTAATGAAAACTGTAGACATTCATTGTGCAGAGGTAGACAAGAGAGGCAGGAACCAGCAAAGAAGAAGTGACCAGTAAGGAACAAAGCCAACAAGAGAGGGCTACACCAAGTTTAAGAAAGGTTTTTAGAAACAGAGACATGGTCAGCTGTGCCAAAGATTCGAGGAGCAAAAATGGCAAGTTATCCCTGTATATCCTGATGAAATTAGTTTCCACAGCCGAGTAAGACTAGCAGCCTTCCTAGAGAAGGCGAAGGAAGAGAAAGAGGCAAGTAAGTGGAAACGGGAAAGGGAACTTTCTAAAGTAGATGTTTGAACAGCTCTATTTTTCTTGGTCTATGAAATGAGTTTAGCAAAATTCTCTCCGCTGAGCACACCCGCTTACCTTCGCAGGTGGAGGAAAGCCGTGTAGCACTGCTTCCGGAACTCCTGGTACTGCTCGCTCTGCGTGCCCCCCATGCCTTCCACCATCTCTTTATTCAGCTTCATGGGAGGAGGGAGAGGCTTCGGATCCCGACCCAAGATATAGCCAAAGTCTATGTGGAAGAGTTTGCCTAGGTGGTGATAAGAAACACATTTGTTTCCATAATTATCTTAAGGTACCAGGAAGCGGATTATGTCATACATTCAGTAAAGTGGTTTCTCTTCATAAAGACTACCACTATCAGTTCATGACAAAGTCTACTGCATTGATGACTCTCTAATGCCAGGCTTGGGAGCAGCCTTCGGAGCATATCTTAGTTCATTAAACTCACATTCGTCCAGCTAAAATTATGCTTAAAATCACCCCGCAGTAATATTAAAAATTTAATTCCTACTTTTAGATCTCCATAATCCAGTTAGCAAAGCCTGAACAACTTCTTTAAGATGTTAGTATAAATAGTATCTGGTAGCAAGTTTCTCATGCTAACGTTTAAGCGAGCTACCCTTCATATAGCAGAAGACCATTTCCTTTAAGTATTTCTAGGGCGAAGCCACAATCCCCTGCCAAAAAAACCTTATATTTCACATTATACTGTTAGCTGAAACATTTCCAGATAATCTGTGTCACTCATTACCTGCAGACTAAGAAACCATGCACAGTGTTCATATCGGCCATACAGCTGCACTGCCCACGAAGACAAGCCTGGGGCAGCCATCTAAACTCACAGACCAGGTATGTAATAGGGTCGTTCACTGGAGAGCAATGGTCGCCAACCTTTCGGACCTCACAGACCACCGGTAGTCCACTGCTTTAGAGCATGCTTCACCACAGAATTCATAAACATGCTGTGATTTACAAGTTGTCTAAGGCAGGGATACTACTATTTCTTTTCCAATATTTCAGCTCGGTGTATATTAACATTATTTATTTACTTATCTTTCTTCTCCACATTAAACTGTTAAAGAACCAGTAAGAGTATCATAATAAAAAATTAGTTTTCTTTATTTTTGTTATAGTTTTAAAACCTGGGATAATGAAGATTCAATGTGGCTATTTTGCATTTGTTTAACCAAAGTCAGCTCAATTTTACATTTACAGCTCAGACACCTTTCAATAATATTGTTGATGTGAGAAATTTTGTTCTAGAAATCTGAAAGTTCTTATAATGGGTTGTTTTGTTTTAAAATTTCTTATCTTCGTTTCCATGAAGATTCTATATAATAAAAGCCTAATATGCAAATTGACCAAACAACGGAATGACGGTCACTATGACACACACTGACCACAGGAGCTGCCCTCTAGTGGTCAGTGTGCTCCCACAGGGGAAGTGGTGCTCAGCCAGAAGCTGGGCTCACGGCTGGTGAGTGCAGGGATGGTGGCAGGAGCCTCTCTCACCACTGCTGCAGGCAGACATCCTCCTGAGTGGTCCTGGATTGTGAGAGGGAGCAGGCCAGACTGAGGGACCCCTCCCAATGCACAAATGTCATGCACCGGGCCTCTAGTCTATAATAAAAACAAAAAAGGCCGCGATGGTCGGGTAGCTCAGTTGGGTGAAGAATTGTCCTGTACACTAAAAGGCTGCAGGATCGATTCCCAGGAAGGCAACCCATAGATGTTTCTCTCTTAAATGATATTTCTCTCTCTCCCTAAATCAATACAAACATATCCTTGGGTGAGGATTAAAAAATAATAACGAAAGAGGCCAAATCTGGATCTTCTGAATGCTACCTTAGTAGTAGTACTTTACTGTTATTTCAGTGTTTTTGACTGAGTTAGTATCCAACAGCAAGGCAGCTTTAATAGTTGCAGGGTGATACTAACAGAAGCAGGAGTAGGTCTACCTTGAAATTACATGGCAGCATCTTGAACTATAAAGGTTATGACGTAGGTTCAAGTAGAGAAAAGCGGTATATCACATGGGATATATTAACAATACTCTGAACTCAAACTTCCACTATATTATCCATACCATTGTCACACTGTAAGTGGCAACTTCAATTTACTTTTATGTAAATTGTCACATTAATGTTGCTAGATTAAATTTTGCAAGTTTGTAACATGATTTAATTCATAAATCTGATTTTTAGTTATGTAAGAGAACAGGTACAAGAAGTTAATACCAGGTTTTATGTGGTCCATACTTAAGATTATAAAATGCAATATGACAACACAGGGGGTTTCATTTCTGTTTAAAACAGTTTTGTTGAAAAACACATTTCAGAATTCCAAAATAGGCTCCAGAGGTCTCTAAACACAATGAAATCAAGTTTTTGGAAAATCCTGAGTTCACTAAATTCCCACATGAAGTCCATGATTCCAAAAAGATAAAAAAACTAGTTTTAGAATAAGATTTTATAACTACAGTACTCCCTGGAAAAGCATCATCTCCTACTCTCTATTTTTATTGTTGACTCTATGATAGATGTCCTTATTCCCTACCCCCACCCCCCTCTTTGTCCATCTTCACCTAGCCCCTCTTCTCTTCCCTCTGGCCATCACAACTCTGTAGTCTGTGTCTATGGTTATGCATGTACATTCTTTAGCTAATCCCTTTATCTTCTTTCATCCAGTTCCCTCCCTCCTCTCGGACAGCTGTGTCTGTTCCATGTATCCATGCCTCTGTTTTTATTTTCTGACAGCATGGATGGATCTGGAGATTATGATGTTACATGAAATAAGCCAGTCAGAGAACAACAAATACCATATGACCTCACCGACAAATTGAACCTGAAGAACAAAATAAAAACAGAGGCATCTCCTAATCTCTTAAGATTCAAGGGACAAGGCTATCTTTGAATTGTCTAGAATTTGGTGAAAAGTCCATAATCAACTTCTGTTAAGGATTTTACTACCTTCAACTAAATACAGAGTAGGGGAAAAGGTGGGTTTATAGTCATTCATATGGAAAATAATACAATGATTAATAAATCATAATACAATAAACTCTATTTCATATACCCACAACTGCAAACCTACTTTTGCCCCACCTACTCTGTATATAGCCTCTGTCCAACAAAGCAAACACTTCATTTTATGCTTTATTCTCATTCTGGAGTTACTGTTTATTTTCTGCTTTGTTAGACAAACACCATTCAACCCTTATTCGTACAGGTATAGCTAAAATTTCCTTGGTTTATTTAATTATGTAAGTGATGCTTTGTTTTGTTATGAGTATAATTCTTAATGGTACTCAGCACTTGAGCAGATAAATATCTGACCAGCTTTGATTCAAAACTGGCACCCTTAATGAATCACGACATCCCAGTATTAAAAGCTGTCAGCCATCATACATGGTTTATTTAATGTACTCTCTGCTTTTAATAGGAAACTCAGTCCCACTTTTCTTCATTTTATTACAAGCATTATTGGAATTCCAATGTCAACTATGCCTCGCTGCTTTCAAATGAAGAGTGTATTTCTATTCTTCTTGCAAGAAAACTCTCAAGGAACAGGATTACTGCTTAATTATAAGGCATAAAAGATTCAATATCTAACAATGAAACCATTATTATGCTTTGCAAGTTCACAAAGTCATGTATTTTGAAAAGAAGCTATTAATGCTTCAAGAAAATGTACCTCTTAAATAGCAAAGGGAATGAATGGCTCTTTTAAAGTTTATACCTGTAAAGGAAACTTGTAAGGATTTTAAAAATACACTTCATAAAATTAAAAGTTTAATTAGGAAATTCAGGAAGATTACTCAAAGCTATTACCTTAAATAGTCAGGAGGTAAAGTGTACATAAAACAAACTGAATGTTGACTGTAATTATCTCCTATATACAAGGGGTAAGAAGAGTTAATTAAATTTTCCTGTTATTTGCATAAGTAACAAGAACTTATTTCTAAAAGTATAGTTTAAGACATTTGCAGATCTTGGATTAAAGAGAATGGATACTACTGAAATTAATAATATTTAATAGTTTTTAAATTTCCATTTTGTCTAATTAAAAAAACACACAGCAACCATTAATATTTTCTTTGTGATAAGATTTCAGTAAACATTAGACTTCTTAAGACTAAATATTCAAGAAACACTCAAAAGATCAAATTTTAAATAGTGTCTAAAAAGAAAAATATTCACATGAAGATAATTCCTTCTCATTTAAATAACTAAAGTAATGATCAAAGACTAAAACAGAATTTATGGCTAAAAAGTGAAGGTCTTATGGGCCTGGCTCTGTTTTGTATTGAGGAAAACCAATCAAATTGGTAGGTAATAGTATGTCCAGAGTTTACAATGAAAGTTTAGACAGGAAACAGATTTTCCTGAAAACCCTAGAAATGGATAAAAATGACATTAAAAAAACACCTACAAAACCCTAGTTCATCTATTCATTCTAAAAGCACTTACCAGGTGCTTTCTAAATACATAAAAGTTTTTATAGCCCTTTCTCTTATTTCCCAGAAAATAAACAAGCACATTGAGAAAATAAGTCTGTAGTTTTAGGTTTTGCAACATACTTAATCTACCAAACCAACTAACTTAAATACAAACAGCTGAGGAGGCACCACTATTTGAATAGTAACTATGTTCTTTCCATATCATAAGATTCTGAATATCATAAACTGAATTATGTCTTGAGGGGGAAAAACAAGACAAATGAATATAGTATATTTTTTAAATATCAAGCTTTACCTTAAAACACAGAAAGGATAGCATTAAATCAGTGAGCAAACTGACTATTCTCTTCTATAATTTTCTACGCTACTAAAATAAAGAGCCACTCCAAAGAGAATTTAGAAGTCGGTAACTTTAAAATGTTTGAAATTTAGAGTGGTAAAAAGGAATTTTTGAAGGAAGTTAATTATTTCCTTATCTCTAAAACTGGAGGCCTGATGCATGAAATTCGTGCAAGGGGCTTGGACCTAGTAGGCGCAGCCGCAGCTGCTGTCCAGGTTTCCTGTCCAGATGGTTGTTCCACTGTTCTGCTGTTTGGCCATCCAGTCTTATTAGCATGTTATGCTTTTATTATTATAGATTATGATTCCAAATATCAGCTATATAAGTAAAAAAATGGAAAGCATTCTTTCCTGATGGTAAAGCAAACAAAACCATAAAAGCTAGCCAACCTTAAGAATCATATGTGCTTAGTACCATGAAAACCTCTATTATGTATCTAATTCAACCCTCACAACACTACCAGGAGAGTGTTCTATTATCTACACATTCAGAAGAAAAGTCCAAGTCACAGCTATGTTAGGTAACTTACCCATAGCCACAAAATGGTACAAAGGCAATTTAAACTCAAATAATCTGACTTTGAGCCTGACATATTAACTAATGCAATGTAAGACTAACCCTAAGAATTAAAAAACAAAATGAATCAATTTCACATAAAATTAAAGAATAATAAATAAGATCAGGATAGGAAATATGTTTTAAAAATTACAATTAGGTTGACAATAACTATTTTTCTTTACTTTGATCTTTCTGACAGAGGCTCAAAGGATATTACACTGAAGTGTCAAGGCAGACAAAAAAGCCACTATTCCTCACTCTAGAAATGTGTAAATCCAGATTAGAAGGGCCACCTTTGGAACTTAACAACTAACTTCTCTGATACTACACATTTAACTCCTTGTTTTCATTTGTTAATGTTTTTCAGTTATTTACATATTAATTCTATATGCTAATTCTATTATAAAGTTTGTATACTATAAACAATGGACAGGTTTTTCAACTATATATGGTTCCTTTTTCATCCCCTCAGGTTCTCAAATATAAAAATAAGCCTTTCTTCAGAGTTGGAATAAATCCAAATCATGTTTCATTTGAGTCCTGTCACAAATGATACTCTGAATAAACTTAAAGCTTCCTCAAAGGATATCAACTCAAAAAAATCCACTTGCTTTTTCCCAAATCACACTTAAATTTTAACATCTGTTGTTCAAATAATACTATATTAATGCATTAATAAGTGAAACACAACTCACTCCCAAATTTGCTTCAATATAACAAGGTTACAATTGAGCACATGGCAAGACACTGACAAAGGAATTGACAGTGCTTTACTTTTATGGTGGATACACAGCGCCCTCTGCTGCACAAGATGAAGAAATGTCAACCAAGCTAAGTTGGGAAGTCCCAAGGTTATCTGAAACCAAATGAAAAGCATGGGGTTTCTTGGAAATCAGTAACTGAGACTATATTTCACTCTCCCCCCCAAAAAAATTACCATTGTAAAGATTTTTAAATTCTCTATATACAGTGATGTATCTTCCTCCACACAATCCTAAACTTCTCAGGCTAACCCTTTCTGTCATCTAGATTTATAGAATAGAATAATGTATTAGGATCAAGTCTCCAAAAGATCCCAGTAAAATGACATCTGGGTATCTCCTTTCTCTCTACAGCTCTCACATCAAAGAACTGAATGTAGATGAATCAGTGGAACTCTGATAAAAATTTCAAATCAAAGCTAAATTACAGTGCTTAAACTTGCCAAAACTGACAAAAGAGAACAGAAGACAAAAGGTGTATTTTTTTTAAATGGGAGAAATCTTACTTTTCTTTAAAAAACGATCCACTAACAACAAGAGACTGTACAGTTACACAAGAAAATCTAAAGCTTTTAATGGTTAATATCCTAGAGTCTGTATTGAAAGTATAATGGACTCAAATATCCAATGGAAGCTGCTTTAGAATATTCAAGGCATTCTTTTAACTACAGGCACAGAAATGTATTTCCTGCAATAAACAACATTTAAAATGCACTCTGAATAAACAATGGTTGTCTAAATTATACAAAGTCTATTTACAACATTTATGTAATTAATATAACTTGAAACTGCTTTGAAATATATGGATTGTTAGTAAAAGATAACTAACGACAAATATTTTAAAATAAATCATTATAATTTTTAAAAATTGAAGAATGTATTATACTTCCACTTGCCTTAACAGAACTAGACTTTCCTTACATAACCTAATTTCATTCAAGTTAAAACTGAAAGTTTAAATTATCTATCCTAGCGAGGAAGATTTCTGATGCCAATTGTACGATACACATATGGATAAAATAATTATAAGGCATTTAAGAAAAAAAAAATCACTAAAAAAAAATGCTGTTTTTAAAAAAGACAATGTGCCTTCCACTTAGCACATTTTAAGGAAAGTTTTGTATTTAAAGGCAAATTTGAAGCACCCTCTAGTGGAAAACTGGTAACAAAAAGTTCAAGCTCTGTTTCTGAAATTTGTAATTCAATTGCCATAAAACAAGTAACTATAACCTGGGCCAAAAAAAGTAGATTAGGCAGACTCCTCTTTCCCACCCCCAAACAGAGCAACTCTTAAGAATTCTGAAGTGATTTCTATAAAGGATGGAGTTTCCCCTAGATGGCCTTCAAAATTACCATAGACAGGGGTGGGAACCTCAGCCCTCGGCCCATATAAAGCCCGTGAACTCATTTGGTCTGGCCCTGCCAAGGCATTAGGGATGAGTTAACTAAATGTTTGAACGGATATATATATTTATCAGGCTAATTTTTAAGTTGATAATTTTTTATGGCTGGTGAATGATGTTATAAATAGCCAAATGGCCCTTGGCAGAAAAAAGGTTCCCCACCCTTGATTTAAAGGAACTTTTAAGACAATGATTTACCTTCACTTATGTATATTATTTTGTTACTACTAAGGTAAAAAGATTCCAAGGTAAAAAACAAAACACACAAAACACTGCACATAAAATGTCTATCTGCTAATAGCCATTATACGTTACCTGTTTTTGTTAGCAAAAGGTTATCCAAGTGCCTGTCTCCAACTCCAAGTATATATGTAATCACACAATATCCAGCTGCAGGAACAGTTAAAAAACAAACTGTGAGTAACACATGCAAACCAGGTTATATGGAGCGCTGAATATAAAAGCAATGTGTGCTACTTTACTTTCAAATTGCTTACTACTGTTTTTGACTTCTCACCTAAATTCTCAAATTAAATTTATAAACTTTGACTCAATGAAGTTTATTATTTGAAACTCAAAAGAAATTACTATTTGCAACAGAAAAAAAACATCGTGTAGAATATTGTTAAATTATAAAAGATATTTGTTTCAAAAGTGAAACCAGGTTTCAGGTCTACCATTTCTCTTTTTATTGGACCTGCATTAAAGATGATGGTGAAAAAAGTGTCTACAGAAATGCACATAATGAAGTCAATCATCCCAAATTGTGCTGTCTACAAGGTAACAAAGTAAATGCAGGGTTAAAAACAAAAACAAAAACAAACAAATAAAAACACTTTGCAGAAACAATTCTGAAGTGCCAGCCAATAGAAAATAAATGAATTTATTTAAGCTTGTGGTCAGCAAACTGCGGCTCCAAGCCACAAGTGGCTCTTTGGCCCCTTAAGTGTGGCTCTTCCACAAAATACCACTGCCTAGGTGAGTCTGTTTTGAAGAAGTGGCGTTAGAACAAGTTTAAGTTTTAAAAATTTGGCTCTCAAAAGAAATTTCACACATACTGCTGATATTTGACTCTGTTGATTATGAGTTTGCTGACCACTGATTTAAGTAGTACAGACATTTATGAAATTCACAATAGAATTTACTAAATACCTCATTATTACTATTAATCAAAAGCACTAATCACTTTTTATCAAGGTTTTATATATTTTAGTCTTCTTATAGAGCATTTTTATGCCTTCCCCAAATCCACATGTTGGAATCATACCAAAGTGGTGGTATTGGAAGGTGGGGTCTGTGGTAATGGAGGTGGAGCCCTCATGAATGGGGTTAGTGCTCTTTAAAAGGGACACCACAGACTCCCTAGCCCCATCCGCCATATGACACAAGAAGTCTTCAACCCAAAGAAGACCCTCAGTTGACCATGCCAGTCCCCATGCTTGGAATTCCAGCCTCCACAACTGGTTAATACTGTTATAATAGCCCAAAGGGACTGAGACACCGTAACCCATTCTAAATGTGCATAAATATGGAAACAACAGAGTAGCCTACTTCCCTTCATTCTAACATATCAATGTCAAACTTACCACAACTTTTAACATACGTGTCCATTACCTCAGCACTGATCCCATAGGGCCCATTGTCACTTGGTGCGTGTTTTCTAAAAAAGTTCTGAAAAGACAGTATTTACATATTAACCAATTCAATATAATTCTTAAACACATTAGGCATTTCGAAACTGTAAATACAGTAGGTCCTTGGGTTACATGGGAGATCTGTTCCTATGGTGACATAACATGATTTTCGCTATAAGTCAGAACCCACCTACATAAGCACATATGTCACTCACAGGGAGCACATACACAGCAGTAATGAAGTGAAACAATCAAAAAAATTTAAAAGAAAGATGACAATTCCTGACCTTTACTTATGGTAAATAAATGATAAAAAACATAAAACACATATGTACATATGTCGAAATGATAGAACTTTTTTTTTATATATAAATAAATGGGAGATAGCGATGTAACCAAAAAATGAAGTACGTCCAGTCCAACATAACCCAAGGACTGCCTGTAATTACCATAGGTACCTGATCCAAAATTTAGTCTGTAATTATAAAATGTGGATTTTAGGAAGCATATTCCTCAGGAGTAAATCTATTGCTATGCTTACAAACTGTTAAGACAAAACAAACAAAAAATACACATAAATACTTAAAGGGAAGACAATAAATTACTGCTATATCTCCATCCTTAACATATCAATTGTTTCATCTTTCTTCTAAAAGTAAATATGAGGGCTGTGGGGTTTTTAATTTTATTTTAAATATCATACATTCTCCTGAAAATGAACATGAGTTGTTTTAATTACAGTAAACCCTTGGAAACCAGGGGTTCCACATCCATAGATTTAAACAGCCACAAATCAAAAATATTGGGGTGGAAAAATGTTACCTGAGGATAGAAGGGTATGTTAGGTGGTTCCCAGACCTCTGATAGTTTGATTTGTTAGATGGAGTCACAGACTCAACATATAGTTGTAACACAAATAAGATTTATTATAGCAATAAGCACCCTCTCTACCTAGCAACTATCAAAATTTTAAAAGGAAAGCAGATTAATTACTATAAATAATATTATTTATACAGCATAGGCACAGCAAACCACCCTTATCAGTTATGGAATGAAAGGAACACACTGAAAGTCAAATTTCCTGATACAAACCAATGGCTGCCTGAGCAACCAATCAGGCCTTCTACTAGTAAAGACAGTAGCCTTGGCCTGCACAAGGGTTAAGTAATCACTCAGTGTTCATAGCAAAAAAGCTGCAGAGCCAAACTTTAATCCTAGGCAGTTTGATGTTCTGACCCCAAGCTTTTAGCCACTGCACATAAATGTACCCCAAACATAAGAAGAGAGTAACCACTTGCTCTGCCAAGAAATGAGAGTAATGCTTCCCAGAAAATCTAAACTCAAATACTGAATTAGGGACACTCTGAACTGAAAAAGACAAAAGCACACTGTAGCAAAAGAAAAAACACACTCTATCAAGCCCCCATTGTATTATTTTTCATCTCAGGGATATCCATTATTCTGTGAGAATATCATTCATTTTTCTCACATAGGGAAAAAGAAAAACGATATTTAAAAGTTAACAAAAATAAACCATTAAGATATAATAAGAACGAATCATATATTTAAAATGTAAAATATTCCCAAAGACATACATGGCTTAGTCCTAGAATCTACTTGCCTTTTCTTATATGAAAGGAGGCAGAAATGTTGAAAGAGGACAGGGGCCTGAGAAAATAATTGTACAAAACGTACATGAGCAAGAATATCACTAGAGCACTAACCAAAAATTCGAGATAATCAAACTGTTCATTAATGGTTAAATTACAATATTTCCACACTTTGAAATGTAGCCATAAAATTAAGGCATTTTTAATGTATTTACCAATTAATTACTGCTCTCCTATTATGTCCTAATTATATCTCATATTTGGGCACCTATACTAGTATGTCCTAATATGTAAGAATTTCCAACTGTTAGTATTGTTTACTTGTGAGGAAATGAAAAATACATGCAGGAAAAAGGGTGATAAAAGGAGACTTTCATTTTTAACTTACATACTTTTATACAGCTTGAAATTTTATAACAAGAATATATTCATGAATTCTATAAATCTTTAAATAAGCACCATACCTGAATGCTTCCTTCTGTATCAAGAACTTCAGCAACAGGAACTGATTGAATAAACTGCATGAAGCCTACACAAAAAATAAATGCATAGCTCTGAGCTAAGTTATTGATTAAGCAATAAAAACAAAAGTTCTGCTAAAAATAACCTTCATTTGCAAATGTATACACTACATATCTGAATAACTCTAAAAGGCCTGCAGAAACTATTTACTCATTCTGAAGGTTATCTCAAAGGATAAGGTAACTTTTAAAAAATTAAGCTAATTTAATCTGTATGTTTCTCTAGGCCAATTTCTATAATTGTACATAAGGAACATACAAATATAAGAGACCAAACTTCTTAAGTCTGGCATAAAAATTTCTTCTTCCTGTATTCTATATTTTTTAAAATATATCGATTAAAAACTTTTCATTCCACATTTAAAATCACTTTAAAAATCTGGAATTGTGTAATATCATTCACCTTACCTTAAAACTATATTATGGTCATTAACTTTTTTAATTAATACTCCATTTTCTGCCTTTTAATGGAAATAATAGAAGAAATGTAAAAATCTTTTAAACTACCAAAAAGAAGAGGGAGGAGATAATATACAGGAGAACAGGAGAAAAATCTGGGAACAGCAGGAAAATAAACAACAAATATATTTAAAAAATCAAAGTTGAATGAAGGAAAGAATTTCAGGATCATAAACAATCATGATATGGTTTTGGTAAGCCTCATATTAGCTATTTGCATGCAAATTAAGAGATTGGATACTATTTTAGAATATGAAATGTCTCATTACTATATCATAAGCACAAAATAGTTTTCATTAATACACTTAAGATTTTTTGTTTCTTTATTATGTAGCAAGAACATTGCCAGGTAAAACATAGAGCCTTGACCATGCCTTCATAAACAAGCTTCAAACTTACAAGTTTGTAAGTTTTGTTGGGATAAATACTACAGATGAAAGACTATGAAAGAGAATAGTGTACAAGCATGTCAAACTCACATCCATTGGGCCATATGCCTTTTAAATAACGTGAGTTTGACATTCTTGGGTAGGAGACCTAAATTACAATAGAGAACAGAAGGCATCTGACAATTTGAGCCACATTTTGAAGGATAACGAGTTAACAGGTAAAGCTGTGGAGGAAGGAATGTTAAAGATAATGAACACAGCCTATGTGAAAGCCTGAAGGCTGAAAGACAGACCACAGTGTGTGGAGAAAATGGAAGGTGGCCACTGTGGCGATAACCCCAGAAGCAGTGGTGGGTGATGGAAGACAGGGTTCCGGGGAGGATAGAGGGGGAATGTCGTTCTGCGGAACTAATTGCTGCTGCTTTTTGCCTTCATCCCAAGAGCAAATGAAAGCTAATAAATCAATGTAAGCAAGATAGTCAAAGACCATATCTGCATTTTTAATAAGACCATTCTGAGAGGAAAATGAGAAGAATTATCAAAAAGATTTGGAAGTGGCTTGGGAAGAGCAGAAAACCGGAGAGAGAACTTGTTTCTCTAGATACCTAAAGGTGTGCAACCCGAAGAGTAACAAGACTATGGAATTCACAGCAGGCATTCCTAGGGAATCTCACTCCAGCTTCCAGAGGATATTCAATGTCAAGAAGCTATGGATGCTATCAATCTATATAGAAAAATTAGGTAATCAGTGGCTTTTATTAGCAGAGCACAGTACAAAGCACCCTGGTCGTAGTAACTCTGAAATGATGATTCAGGACACAGGTTGCCATGTAATGCAATTGAATGCAAAGTAATACACTATAAAGGTTTTAATTTTTCTTCCAAATATGATGTTTAATGATTGGAAAGGAAGAAGGGCAAGGAGAGAGGGAGGCGGGCCATATGGGCAGAGCCTGGATCCATGACCATATCATTACGAAGCCCAGCAGATAACGATGCTGCACAGGCCATGATGGGTCCCGTGGCACAACTGGAGAAGACAGATCCCAGCAGCTGGCTGTTTTTAACTATCCAAGTGGTGGTGGCCAAAAGGAAGCTGGTCTTCAGTGCTGCAAATGAGCTCCAGTTCTAGCATTTTTAATACTTTTCAGTTAAAAAAGGAAAAGTATACTCATTGACTCATTGAAATAGACAATCACAGTGTAAACTAAACTTACCATGTTTTGTACTGGTGGCTAATACTTTATAGGGTGTTAACTTCAAATCAAGATTTTCTTTCCGCAGCAGCTGTTCGTCAAAAGGTAAAATACATGAACTAAATGTAAAGATTGTTATGAAACAGTTTTACAGGTAAGTATTATAGCAGTTTAATAACTAAGAGTCAGGAAGTGAACCTAAACTAAGGTTTAACTAAATTCATTAGTTAATTTAACTTTCATCATTAAAATAAATTTATTAAGCACTTACTGGATGGTGTGCCAAATTTTTATCTTAATCTAAACCACTTTCAGTTTTCAATGAACAGTAGACTTCCTCCTACTAATTTATGCAGGTTATTTTTCTGCTCATAAAATATTTTAGACTCAGAAAAAAAGAAATAAAAGCAAATATGTTTCTTTAAAATTCTAGTTGACTAAGAGAAAGAAAATTACTAAATCTAACATTGAACCAATTTAGTTGGGAAAAACTTTTTTATAGAAACACATGCAGTTTCATTTTATCCCCATCACAAGAGCTATTCTATAGTGCACAAAACAGCTGAATTTGTTCAAGGTCAAATGGAGACTGCTGAGCTTTCTGTGTTGTACTTGAAACGTTACAAATATGCCCTGTGTCCATATACTAAATATGTACTAAACCGGTTTTCTGAAGTGAAATAATGTTCCCCACCAACATAAGGCTCTGTTCACCTTGTCCATGAGTGAAATGATTTGAAGAATAAGTTGATCTTGGCGTAAGTCATCCCCATGCTTGAATATAACTGGGTATTTGCCTCCATCTTCTGTCTTAAAGAACAACTGTGCAGGCATAAGGGCACTCTGGAAATAAAAACATTGCTTTCAAATTTGGATATAAGTTAATGTATGAAAATCGACTACACACAGAAGAAAATGCTGACATGTAAGTTGCCAAGAGGTAAGCAGGACCTGAGAAACAAGATGGTTGGCAGCAAGAGGCATTAGGGAACGCTGGAGAAAACAGTGAGCTAGCTAACAGCTAGGACTATAGGGCATAAGGAGCACAAGCTCTGTACTCGGTCATTAGAGTTCATCTAATTAAGTGAAAGATTCTGGAGAAAACATATAGTAAGTTATTCTAGAATAAAAGATAAAGGTATTTGAGATCTCCCTTCATTTCATAAAACGTAATTTAAGTCTCAAAGCTGCGAAGCCAGTCATAGACCTGCCATTAGAAGCAAGAGATCTTGACTATATCTGATGCATTTTAATGCTGTACTGATTTACCTCACTTACTCCAGTATGTCTCTAACACTACAAGTTATCATGATGAGCACATCTCCTCTTTATCATGCATGGTGCCAGACTCCTGACCCTCTCTAGTTTCAGAATGCCTTAGCAGCTATGCAGAGGAGGTGTTAGCTCTCACAGTGAGGAGACAGGAGGAAAAAAATGTGTTCAAGGTCATCCAGCTCATAGGTATATGAGCAGAGCCTGGATCCATGACCATGTCATTACGAAGCCCAGCAGATAATGATGCTATACAGGCCATGATGGGTCCTGTGGCACTACTGGAGAAGACAGCTACAGCAGCTGGCTGTTTTTAACTATCCAAGTGGTGGTGGCCAAATGGAAGCCTAGCATGCCCTTCAGGAGTAAAGAGAATTACCGTACTACATAAAAATGTGAAGGAAAAAGTTAAGCCATAGGAACAGGTTGAGCAATGTTAAGAAGGTTAACTGGGACTCATATCTAACCATGTGAACCTATGAACTGAATGTATAATTTAAGTTTTTCAAATTTATTTTTAAATAAAGGCTCAAATGGAAAAAGTAGATGTAGCTTAAAAAAGTAGTTCAAAAAATTAAAGATTAAAAAACAACCCAGATATATAAAAAAAAAAAACTTTACACATTTCATACTTAAATGACTATTGGTAATACAAGATCTGAAGTCAAAACACTGTTAAATAAAAGTTACTTTTCCCCCTAGCATTATTAAGTCAAATACAGATATTACCTGTAGTGTTCTAGTTTTAAAGAACTAGGTTCCAAGCACAGACATTAAAGATCCATCACGATTACCTTGAATAGTGTAGCCGTTTCTGGGATTATTCCTCTGATTTTCACCTGGGGTTCTAGAGGCAATGGGATAGGTTCCACATCTGACAAGTTCATCTTTTCATTATCTCCAAGCAATGCCTGTAGTCTCTCATTCTAGAAGAAGGCATGAAGGATTAATTAGGTTAAACTTTTTTTAAAAAGTAGCTTACAAAACATGGTGAAGACATAAAGACGGATTCCGTTAACTTTAAAATATCTGCAAAACACCACAAAAAATATGTGTCAAGCCCTAACTGGTTTGGTTCAGTGGATAGAGCATCAGCCTGCGGACTGAAGGATCCCAGGTTCGATTCTAGTCAAGGGCATGTACCTTGGTTGCGGGCACATCCCCAGTAGGGGGTGTGCAGGAGGCAGCTGATCAATATTTCTCTCTCAGAGATATTTCTAATTCTCTATCTCTCTCCCTTCCTCTGTAAAAATCAATCAAATGTATTTTAAAAAAATATGTGTCAAGTGAGAGCTACCAGGGGCAGCATGGTCTAACATGAGCAGTCCTTGGAGTACGAAGAGCCGGACTTGCACATGGTCAGGGAACACATTTCTCTTGCTCATCTGAGAATCAGGAATATACTCAAGCTAGACTTAAAGATTCCATTTTTGTTTTCAAATGATATTGAAGCCACAAAAAGAAACTAATTTTATTTGAAGCTTAACTTTTGGATGACCAATTATCAAGCAAGAATTTCATGATGCTGCTCCTGTGCAGGTTTTGAGTTTAAAAAGTGAACTCAATCCACACAGAGGAACTTGAACCCTACCATTTACTGTTCACTGACTCTGACCGATCCAACTTCTCCTAAGAAATCGTCATTTATTTTCTTCAGCTCACACCCACACTGCATTGAACATTTCAAGTCTCAGTGAAATAGCTTCGTCACTGAGCAACACCTGTCCTATTTAGAACAAGCCCTTCTATTCCATTTCAAAATAACATCCATTTCCTTTGAATGCTGTGAGAGTCACACACTCTTTGAACAGGCAAGCTTGTTAAGGGGGAACTTGACTTGTCATTCCCCACAGCATAAGCACTTGAACTGTGATGCTACTGAAAGGATGTGTGCCTCAAAGGGAGAGCTCTGAATCAGTAAGACAGAAGTTCAGAAAAATGTTTCAAGGACCACCAAAACATAAAATTAAATTCTTTCCCTTTAGTAATATTTCAATTCTCCTTCTGAATCAGCAAGTTCAAGTTAAAATCAACTGAAAACTGGTATGAATTTCCACATGTCAACTGAAAACTGGTATGAATTTCCACATATCCCCTACAAAAATCAGTAAGTCTACTGAACTAATGTGCCATCAGACATTTATATCTAGATATATAGATATAGATATAGATATAGATATAGATATATAAAAGCCCAGTGACTGAATGGCGGAACCACTAGAATGACGGGTCGACCAGTCACTATGATGTGCACTAATCATCAGGGGGTAGACACTCAACATAGGAGCTGCCCTTGGTGGTCAGTGTGCTCTTACAATGTGCTGCTCAGATGACCTGGATGAAACCAAGTCTCTGCACCTACCAAAATATCTGAGAGAATCCAGACTCTTGCCTGACCCCACCACCCTCTAAAGTGTGTTCTAGAAAGAGGATAGGGAGCTGGCATAGGCGGATGGTAAGAGGGGACATGACGGTGGACTCCCCAGGGAGGCTGTCCTGATGGCTGAGGATCCTGGAGCATGGCTGCCCTGAACATCCCTCATGGTGCCACTGACCTGGCATCACGCATCAAGGACACTGACCTACCTACTTTGGGGTGCAAAGTTCTCTGCCAGGTTCCTCCAGGACAAAGAACATGCTTTTACCCAATACATTACCCTGAAATATCAGCTCAGACTAATTTCCTCATTCAGCAGGCGCTCAGAGAGCAGGTCCACAGCCACTTGGCTAACCAGGATGAGCCGTTCTCCCACAGCGGTTTGATCCCTACAGGCCACGCCCCACCAGTGCACAAATCTGTGCCCTGTGCCTCTAGTATTAATATAAAGCAATGTTAACTAATCCAAATATCCAGTCATCCCATCATAACCAATCTCTAGTTGATTGAAGTGCTCGTAAACAGGAAAATAACCAGAAGCAGGTAGTAAGAGAAGGGCCAGAAAATCCAGCTACTTCTTCCTACCTCCACTGCTCTAAGCTCCGGGGTCCAAGCCACCATCATTTCTCACTTTGATTCCTGCAGCAGCCTCCTGACTGCGCCTCTTCTTCAACCTCTGCCTTTTACAGTCTCTTATCAAAAACAACTAGAGTGCTGCTGCTAACAAGAAAGTCAGTTCATGCCACTCTCCTATTCAAACCTCCAATAGCTTCTACTCTCACTTAATGTTTAAGCTAAAGTCCTTAAAAATGGTATATATAATGTGTTTCCTCTTTATCCTATTTTCTCTTTCTTAACCTTGTGGACATTATTCTATGCACATATCTCTGCTAGCTATCTCTGAACTCCTGACTCAATTTTTCCTTGCTCTCTCCACGTGCATCTCCAAGCCAGGAGAACAACAGGAACATGGATTATGTTGTTAATGAAGGTCACTGAGAAAGGCCTGCCTATTATGGGATTAGGTAAATGCCCAACACGTAGGCTGTATAAAGCCATAGAAATCATTTGGTCTGGCTCTGCCAAGGCATTAGGAGTCAGTTAATTAAATGTATGACCAAACATAGCAGGCTAATTTTTAAGTTGATGATTTTATATGGCCCACAAAAGAAGTTCTAAATATCCAAATGGTCCTTGGCAGTAAGAAGGTTCCCCACCCTTGAGGTAAAGAGAAGATATCAACTGAGTCCTATATAGTATATAGGCTATTGATTAGAAAAAAGTGATGCACGAAGAACAGATGTTCAACTGTCCTCATCATGCAGAAGTCTGGCTGCTGAGAGAAAGATTAATGCACAGGCCATGCATCAGAGTCAAAGCCAGTGCTGTACCGAACAACTATTCTGCAATCCTGGCTAAGCCATTCTGGACCTTCACGTTCACAGATGGATTCTAATCTAAATTATCTCTAGAGGCCCTTTCCATGTCAAATGGGTTATATTCTAGGATGCTAAGATTCTAAAATAAGACGCAATAAAATACTATAGAAAATATGGACTCAGAAAGTCTGGGTACAAATCCCAATGCAAATCCTTGCTGAGGACATTGGACAAATTAACTTAACCTCTCTATTCCTACTTTTCCTTACAATTGGGAAAATAATAACAGTACCTAACTTATAGGGCTAGGTATATATATGGAACTCATAAAATAGAATCCCATATATAATCAGTATGCTTAAGTGTTTCTATTACTAAAATTAAGTTTTTCATAAAATATATCCACTCAAAAGGAAGTACCAAAACTCAGAATTTTATGATATAAAGACATTATTAGTCATAAATAAAAAGCAAATCCAACAGGTTTACCTTTTTCTTACGATTTCCACTTTCACGCTGCACTGCCTTCATTAGATGCACCAGCCGATCTACAAACGTCTGCTGTGCAGCCAGCAAGGAGCGCATAACTCTGACAGACTTGTCACCCTGAAGGTATTCAACGGGTAGGAAAATTAGTTCTATGCAGCATAATGATCAGGGTTTCTTTAATAGCATGGGTGATCTTTATTTATTCTTCTAATAGCTGCAAACTTCAATGCACAGTGTAATTGAAAAAGATTAATTATCTTGATACAGAGATGAGCAACCTGCTATCTTAAACAATACCAGTTTTTCCACAGTTGAAATATTAAGTGAGTCTTCAGCAAATACTAGTCTATCAAAAATAGCACTCCCCCCCCCCCCCCCATACAGCCATGTAACAAAATAGAATTCATTCACATAAAATGATTTCACTCATTGATTCAATAAATTTCTGGATGCCTATGATATCTTTAGCAATGTGCTGGGGATATGGTAACCTACCAACAATCTACCAACAACATTGGTAGAACTAAAAATCTACCAAATAAAAGGGTAAAGTTCTCAAATAGCAACATTTTATATGACTTAGTAAAATAAAAATCATAATAACTAAATGCTGTAAAATCTTAGTGATTCCCAGCTCATAAAATATTATAAAATAAAGTGAATTTTCCAATTACCCTTGTAAGCGCAGCTGGGAAAATATTATCACCCTCATTTTGAAGATGAGAAGATATAAGCTCAGAGAAACTGAGATTTCTTCAGAGTGACAAATGCCTTAAGTGATAGAACTGAGATTAGAAAAGAGCAACAGGCCGAAACCGGTTTGGCTCAATGGATAGAGCGTTGGCTTGGGGACTAAAGGGTCCCGGATTCGATTCCGGTCAAGGGCATGTACCTTGGTTGCGGGCATATCCCCAGTGGAGGGTGTGCAAGAGGCAGCTGGTTGATGACTCTCTCTCATTGATGTTTCTAACTCTCTACCTCTCTCCCTTCATCTCTGTACAAAATCAACAAAATATATTTAAAAAAGAAGAAGAAGAAAAAAAAGAAAAGAGCAACAATTTGCTAATTACTTATTTGCTATTTGTTAATCAGTTTGATGTAGAGACATTCTGAGCTCTGAGAACAATATAAAAGTTTAATCTCAAAGACTTAAATAAGAGGTAATTTAAATATTTAATAAGATGAAAGATAAAAGAGTATTTCTGAAAATCAGATTGATGTGCTTTCTGTTCAATGCTGTGCACCGTATTTTTTCTTTAAATGACAAATGCTAGTCTGTGAAATTTTAAATTTATTTCAATGGATTATATATGACATATAGAATGAAAGTCATACATCTATACCAACTTGCTTGTTTCATCAATAACAAAATTTATAGGGGTTGTCTGCCCACCTTGGTATAACTGGCTGAACTCGGACATTGCTGTAAGAGTCACAAGCACCAAGGGAAAATGGATTTACAGAACATCTCTAAAAAATGTTTAAGAAGGAAAATATATGTTATGTTATATAGAAAGTTTCTGCAGTATGACCAGTGCCAAACTTTTTTGGAACATACCTAGTTTTGAAAATAAAAAAGGTAAACAGAGGTAGAAATGGAAAAGCAAAGTGTTGGGATTTTGGGTTCATGTATAGGTTTATTCATTGAATCAGGGATCAACAAAATTTTTGTAAAGGGCCAAGGAATAAATTCTTTAAGCCCACTGGGCATACACTTTCCATTCCAACTATTCAACTGCTATGGTAGTGCAAAACTGGCCATAAACAATATGAAAACAAAAAACATGACTAGATTCCAATAACATTTCACTTAAGAACACTGAATTTGAATTTCACAACAAATAATATTCTTCTTTTGACTTTTCTGAACCATTTGAAAATATAAAAACCATTCCCAGCTCAACGGACATATCAAAAGAGGCAACAGGCCAGATCTGGTCCAGGTTTGTCCCCCGATGTTAAATGGTTACCTTCAACAATGCTTGGCTGAATCGTCTCATCACATTCAAGTACATCTCATGAGTCTTTGGGTCTCTCTGCTGAGTATCTTGATCTTCACATTCCACTATCACGTACCTTAAAAATATGTTGTCATTTAGAAGATGTGAAATGAATCTCAGGTTCATTTTGTAAATATTTATGCCTTTCCATTAAAAGATTAATTCACATTTGCAAAAATAATAAAATGGGAATAATGAGGTACTTTATCATCACTCTTTTAAAAGTGGAAATATAAGGGCCAACATATACAACCATCTATAAAAGGTAAATTAATAACAGTAACTAATTTGCACAATATACTAGATTTTCTAAAAATGTTGGCATAAAAAAATAAAAACAAGCATTTTTTCCTAATACTTTCTGAGGTATAGAATTGCTGGGTCATATGAGAGTTCTAGTTTTAATTTCTAAGAAACCTTCACACTTTTTCTGAAGTCGCTGCACCAATTTACAGTGGTTCCCATCACAACTTTGTAAACACATTTATGCACACAGATGCATACATCAAAAGAGTTTCAATGGATTATAAAAGATATACAGTATGAAAATTATGCATCTATACCAACTTGCTTTGTTTCATCAATGGCGAAATTTAGAGGGGTTGTCTGCCCTAACGTGGTACAATTAGCTGACTGTATTGCTAAAATCAGGACATTGGGCTCCTCAGTAGGAATTCTTCCTGCTCTACTCAGCTTATTTCCACATTGTTTTATCTTGAGAAGCCACAAGAAACTTCTCAACCTTGATAACTAATAGTGTTTTACAAATCTCAAGTCACAGCCACCATATTTCCTTGGACTATTTCTGGGAAAGAGTATATTCAGCCTTGTAGGAGGTAAATTTCATGAAAGCTGAACGCTTAACCTTGGCACTTCCACGCCTGGCACATAATATTCAATATATTATTGTTGAATGAATAAAATTACTTATCTCATGGACTTAACCATTATTTCTAAGTTGATAATTCTCAAATAGGTAAATACATTCCCTTTAACACATCTACAGATTAGTTTTAATTTCATTATGTGGTCGGCTTTTACTTGCAAACTTGCAACTATGCCCATTTTATGCATTCACACTCCAATCAGGTCAATCCCCTGACCACCCTGTTGTGCTTTCGGTTACGTTGCAGTACTGTCCACAATCACCTTCCCATCTCCACCTTCCCATAGTCTACGCATCCTTCTAACAGAGGGCAATGCCCTATCTCTTTCAGGAAGTCTTTGCAAGTCCTAACGACTTCTTCCTTTTCTTCTTGTGTGTTTACGTGGCAAACTCACAAATGAGCAATACAGATGACCGCCTTGTGCAGGCTCCTTGCTCTCCTGGACCACCAAGTAAACATGATGGCCACAGAAATTTCATGTGACTGAAGGTATAGATTGGTGCTCAATATAAACATCAAGTATCAAAGACCTCTCAAAATCATCTAAGCCAAAGTTCGGCTGCACAGAACAGTCCATGTATAATAAAAATAACAGTAGCATTTCCAAATATGAAGGGTAGATTTAGATCATGACTAGAAAATGTAGATTTGAATAATTTCTGAATCCTCTGTTCAGAGCAGTAAGCTAGATTTTACAAAGCACTCTAAGGTATTCCCTTGAAATCTGTCATCTTCAAATAGAAAGGCAGATAAAACTGTCCCGTTTCCCATTGTAAGGTGACATCAGTGGACTGCCTGTTTCCTGGCAATTTTGCTTTGTGGGGTAAATAACCTTTATTACCTTGAAAAGTCTTAAAAGTTATAGAAAAACATGTCAAAGCACCCAAAGTTTACTTTCAATTCCATCATACCGGAATAGCTATAAAAATAAAACTCCAGAACGATTTATAGATCCTGATGCCCAACATTTCACAGATGGGGACTATAAGTTCTCTCTGAGGCTTAAAAGGTTGACATTATTCATTTTAAAAGGATTGTCTGCACAACAATAGCCCCCTAAGGGTTCAGCTAGAGCAGAAATCCCATTTAAATCACTAGAAAGGGAACAAATGAAAAAGGAAATTCAAAATGTTCAAATGGAAATAGAACAATTAAAATGTATATGTCTGACCTACTGGACAGTTTTTCTAAACTCAGTCAAAAACAAGACAGTATTTTGTTTAATTCTGTCATGGAACAGAAATGCCTCATTAGTTTTTTTTTGTTTGTTTGTTTGTTTTTTTAGTTTTTTTTTTTTTTTTTTTTTTTTTGTGTGTGTGTGTGTGTGTGTGTTTTAAATATATTTTTATTGATTTCAGAGAGGAAGAAAGAGGGAGGGAGAGAGAAAAAGAAATATCAATGATGACAGAAAGTCATTGATTGGCTGCCTCCTGCAGGACCCCACTGGGGATCAAGCCCACAACCCAGGCATGTGCCCTTGACTGAAATTGAACCTGGGACCCTTCAGTCCGCAGGCCAATGCTCTATCCACTGAGCCAAACTGGGTAGGGCTGCCTCATTATTCTTAAAAAATGAGCTTTCAGAATGGAGATCTGTTAATTTGTACTATTTAAGTAAGCACAGTAAATTGAGCAGTAGAACTTAGAGATTATTTCTATAGTTAAAATATATTAAGTGGAGAAATTTTAAATGTTCTCTTAGTATCCAGAGGCTTCAGGCAGGGCTTACCCAGCTGGCTCTTGCCTTTGTTTGCTCTGCAAAACTGGATAAGGTTCCTTTGCCTAGTGCTATTTTTTATTGAACTAAAATATTCCTCCTTGTGGCTTAAGCTTCTTGCCCTTTACACTGCAGGATTCTGTGACAGATAAAGGGAACCATGCTTCATAGTAATTATTCTCAAAAAGTGAGTTAGTCTTCCTGTGCCTTAGTTTCTTCCTTTCCTTCAACTCAAGAGACCATAAAATAGCGGTATTTATACTTGCCCTATTTAACTTCACAGGATGAGAAAAGGTCACTGAAAATACTCAGTAAATGGCAAAGCGCTAGGTAAATGATCTAATCTCCAGGTTCTATCAAGTTCAATTATATGATGACTTTGCCTCAATTTCTTCATCCATAAAATAAGTAACCTCACATTTCCACTTTCCACTTTCCATTTCTGTATACTTTCGATGTGTCGGTAAATATTGTGAAAATACACACTCCTAAGGGACTATAAACCACCATACTTAAACTTAGATACTATAAAAGGCAAGCAGACATCAAACTGACAAAAACATATACCCATTACCTTACCCAAACTGATTTTAGATACTGGAAAGTTACTGAAAGGAAGAGAAATGGTGGTGCTAAGGAGCATTCCTGAGCACAGCTGTAAAGGAATACAGCTAGATATAAATACCGCACTTAGGCTTTTGATGGCTGCTCACACGTTATTTTAAACTGACTTAATGTTTATGATATCGGGGTGGGGTGGGTCCTACAGAAAGTAAACAGAAAATTATTTTCACATACCAGTATAAATAATTAGCCAGTGTTGAGTTTTTGCAGGCTCTTGATATCAAGAAGGTGCAGAGATCTTGCTGAAACAATTAAAAGAAATGTATTTATATATATATATTATATTATCCATCTGCTATTAACTTTCTAATATCTAAACAAATCAGGGGTGTCAAAGATTCTCAAATTAGAAGTCTTAGAGAGAAATTTAACAATATATACTAGTGCTTCTGAAAATGCACTTTTCAGAGCAGCACCAGCCAAATAGGCCTGTTTTACCTCAAAAGTCAGTCTACTAATCTAAAAAGATTTAATTTTTCTATAAGTTAAAAAACAGCTTTATAGTGTATCAGCCTTAGTATCGAAGCCACACATTTCTGCAGGGTAATCACAAACACCAAAAATTACAGTAATGTTCATAAATATGTTAGCAATAAATATTGAGTTTCTTTAATAAAATACTGAAGCCAGTTTATTTTTACATTGCATATGAATCCATTCATATGCCCAAAGCACCAATAAAAAGCCTCGAATTGAAGATTATATGGTACTTTTTGCTGAGAGGAAAAGCCATAAACATGCATCATAAAACAGGTTATTTAATAAAGTTGTAATATTTGGTTTATTAATCAAAATCAATGTTTTAAAAGCCACCATAGGCACTGGCTGGTGTTTCTCTGTGGTTAGTGTTGGCCTGCAGACTGAAGGGTCTCAGGTTCAATTTCCAGTCAAGGGCACTTACCTGGGTTGCAAGTTCTATCCTGAGACCCAACAGCCGAGGCAACTGATGAACTGATGTGTCTCTCACATGGATGTTTTTCTCTCTCTCTCTCTCTCTCTCTCTCTCTCTCTCTCTCTCTCTCTCTCCTCTCACCCCCCCCCCCCCAAAAAAAAAATCAATGGGGAAAAAATACTAAGATGTTGATTTAAAAAAATAAAAAAAATCCATATTTTAAAAACCGTTTTAGGCCCTGTCCAGTGTGGATAACTGGTTAGAGCACCTTCCCATGCATTGAAGGGTCTCAGGTTTGTATCCTGGTCAGGGCACATACCCAGGTTGTATGTTTGATCACCAGTTGGGTCACGTGTATGAGGCAACTGATTGATACTTCTCTCTCAGATAGATGTTTCTCCCTCTGTCCCTCCCTCCCTCCTTCCCCCTCCTTTCCTCTCTCTCAAGTATCAATGAAAAACATATCCTCAGGTGAGGATTAAAATCAATCAATAAGTAAAAATTTTAAAAATGAAAACCACTCTGAGGTGTTTACCTGAAGGATCTCTCCTATAGCAAACTGGAAAAGCTCTGCACTCACCTCCAGATTTTCACCATCTGAACCTTCTTTTGTTTTAGATGCAGGGGGAGGGGAAGATACTGGAGGAACAGGACTGGTTATAATTTGGGAGCTGAAAAAAATAATAGGAGATATCACTGATATGTAACAGATTCTGTTTGGAACAGCAGACACTTTGTTTTTTCTTTTTAAACACAGTTCATCTTGCTGGTGTCTGGACAATGTGTCGCTTCCTAAGGTGTGTTCTGGGCAACACCAGAGTCACAGTGTGCTCCAGAAGAGGCCCTGTGGTCAATGGATACAGTAATAGCTGCTTGGAGATGTGCAGGTCTGCATATTGCTAAGCACTATTGTTATAAAAATAAAGCCCATTTTACTTTAAACAAGCATTTCAGCATTTCTCAAACATATTTGGTCACAAAGCCACCCTAGCAACTTTATATCTTTTTAAAAATACACAAATTAGTGACCAGCAGACCATGATTTGGGAAATACCGGGTCGGGTCACAGTTTATATCCTGCCATAAAATCTTAAGCAGACCCTGAGAAAACATTCTAAGTGGCATAAGTAAGGAGGAAGGTAGCATGATTAGAGACAGAGACTTCCAATGGATAGTGGGAGAAAAGGTAAGGGGTGCATTCTCTTAAAAATAAAAAATAAAATGCCCCCCCCCCCCGTTTTTTTTAGTTCTCCAAATGAAACACGGAAGATAAAACAGTATTAACATAATCATAAAAAATTTCAGAAATATAATCTTGAGCCCATGTGATAACTGAAATATCTGATTCAGGTTATCTGATTTCTAGAACTCATTCTCAAGTCTTTACAAAATAGCTTATCATCATTGGGCCTCAAAGTTCTCACCCGAAGGTTCCTATTTATTGCAAATATTAAGATTTTATGGAAAACGCAATGGCAAAGTAAAAGAACATGGAGTCAACTCTACCATTTGCAAGATATGCTCTTTGGGCAATTTACTTCTAGTAAGTCATTGATATCCAAATTCTGGATATGTGCATCTGCCTCAGTAGATTACTGTTAACAAGGGAATTTATGTAGACTACCTCACAGTGTCTGCTACAGAGGTGAGAGTTCTTAATTGTTATTATTTTTACTAGATGATTTTAATTCAAGTAACATGTTCTTTATTTAGTATAACTACTAAAATATATAATTTTACAATAAAATACTTGAGTCCACTAACATGCCCTGCCCTCATTTGTATGAACAGTAAGTACTATCTAACACTTACTGAGCATTGTGTATTAGGTACTTTTCTAAAAGTTTTATGTGTATTAACTCATCCAATGTTTCAACAACTCTTAAAGATTAGTTACTATTGCTATATCCCTGCTTTTAAGATGAGAAACCGGGGCCACACAGGATATGCAACTTATACAATGTACACACTAGTAAGTGACAGAGTCAAGGTTTATATTTAGGTAGTTTGACTCCATTGCGTGCAAAAACTGTGAATGCACTTGCCATATTCATTGGGAGAAGACTTCAAACTTATTACCAACTAGGATTTTGTACACGTAGGGAAAATGGAAAGAAGACAGTTGGAAAAGGAGAGAAACTCTCCGATGTGAAAACCAGTCCTCCCTGGATAACCATACCTATCTATTTCTGCAGAATTTATTCCAGAAGTTGATGTACTTTCTGACACTGAACTCTGACTATCCTTCTTGGTAGGTTCTAATCCATTCTTTATATCATCAAAATTTTCATATTTGAGAGCTTGGACCAGCTGTAATAGGTACATCAATAAATCCTGGAAAATAAAGAAATGAGATAATATTAAAAAAAATGCAGTATGGTTATAGACATAACTTATTACTAAATATTATGCTAACAATTCACTTTTTCTACCACTTATCAGCTGTTTCCTTTGTCAGATCACTAGGATGCCTAACTTTGTGGTGTTTCACTGGGTTTTCATCTATAGATGGACAGATCATAAGATCATACAAGAGTTAGGAAGGAGGCATGAGGATTAAGTCAATTAATAGAAGAAACTCACAAAGTAGTGCCTGGCACAGAATAAGTGGCCAGTGAATGCCGTGTTTACACTTGATCTTAGCCAAAAGGCCGAGAAGCGATTGTGAATGCCGTGTTTAAAGTAGTATCCAAAAAGCAAAGCAAACACCAAAAACAAACAAACTTGCCCCATATAAATTTTTCTCATAACTATCAAGTAACATAGCAACTATTATCACACTTTTTTTTGGAAAGGAAACTGAGGTGAGAATAAGACAAGAGTGCAGTGTTCCCAAAGACATATACACTGAGTGGCCATATTATTATGATCTTGGAAGGCATAATAATTTGGCCACTTGGTGTATATATACATATATATATTAGAGGCCCTGTGCATGAATTCATGCATGGGTGGGATCTGGCCAGCCTGGCCAGGGGAAGGGGACATGGGAGGCTCACCAGCCGGCCTACCTGCTGGTCAAACTCCTGGTCGAGGGGACAATTGGCATATTAGCCTTTTATTATATAGGCTATACACTGAGTGGTCAGATTATTATGCATTCAGAGTTTGTAATAATTTGGCCACTCTGTGCATATAGGTATACAGAGTCAGAGAAAAGACAAAACTCAGATCTTAATATACTAGTACATCTAATAAATTAATAGTTTTTTTTAGCTGAGTATTTCTAATTCAGTACTGAAGTAAGGTCAGAGAAAGGAAAACCATGAGCTAACTTAACCACCATAGTATTTATGCTATATTGTTGAAATTAAAAAAAAAAAAAACCTAAAAATTAATCATTGAACCATAGTTTGCAGTTTAGAATGCATGTAATAATGTTTTTATATTTTCTACCTCATAACAAAAATTATAAATGGTCTAGAAAAAGCTCAGTATCTACATGAACACTGGTAACTCCAGACACAAACACTTAGCCTCTATTGAGGGAATCAAAGCCAGGCAATCAGAAATAATAATTTACAATTTTTCTGTTTACATTATGAACTCACACTGAGGTACTGTGTTGACTACACCATAGAGGCCTTTATCTAAACTCTATGATTCATGTCAAACATAAAGAGTTAATGACTTGTATGAAATTTCTAATGAATTTAAAAATAAGTATTTTGATATTTCAAATAAATATGTAATTCTTTTATTGCAATACAGTAAAGATAATTAGGAAGGAGAAAATAATATGCAAAATCACAATGCTAAGAACTAGTCTTTAATAAGAGAGTGGATAACATCCTGTTCTGATAAAATTATGCAATATCTGAGATTTTCCTCAGGGAAGGTAATGAATGGGAGGGAACAGGGGGAAGAGAGTAAGAGGTGTTACAGATGAAATAAGATTGGCAATGAGTTGACATTTGTTAAAGATGGGTATTTTAAATGCGAACACTTACAATTCAATTTATTTTAGTGTTTAAATTTTACAATAATTAAATATACACATATATATATGGACCTTAATAAAAGCTGAGTTTTGCTTCTTGAAATTCAGATACCAGTATGAATTAAAAATGATTTAATTGTACTTAATAAAGATCTTTAATAATGTTCTATGGGATCAGCATTCCTAGATACATACTGAGGTTTGAGTAGTTATTCCATATCCCAAAAGCACTGCAGGCTGGCACAGACTATTAGATTATGTTTGAGAGCACATTCACCCAATAAAAATTCATAAGTAAAAAATATTGCTGGATTAGTCTACCTTATTAGGAATTATTAAAATTCAAGATGCAGCGATACTTCGTGTCAACACAGACTGTTCCTCCATCCCTTGGGCCCTGAGATATGAAAACAGCCAGCATCAAGTTTGCAGGCTTTGCTTTCCAGAGGATTCAAAACCACTTTCAGAAAGTCTATACATACACACAACTGTCAGCAATGGAAAGTTTAAAGGAGTTTGAAGGAGAATAAGATGACCATGCACCTCTGTTTTAGAGGCCCCAAGGGCTTTGCAAGGCTACAATTAAATGGGGCTTGTTGTATACTGACTAATAGAGAGGATCTGAATTATTCCCTAGCTGGTGCTGCATTAAACCATTTTTCATTAGAATTCCTCTTTCCAGACAGAGAGACGCAAGCTCTGCTGCCAGGTGAGTGTCCTGGGAGAGATTGTCCTATCATGAAACAGATCAGGAAGTAAATTTTCATTTCACAGAGGAGTCCCTGGAGGAATATTTTAATTTTACTTCTGAAAACATACCCAGTATATCCTCTTCTCCCCTGCAAAAATCTCCCTACCCCTCCTTTCTCTAACACACACACACACTCAGAGCCTCGGATCAGGCTCTAGTTTAACATGTACCCAAAGAGGAATAATGAATACTGATGTACCTCATCATCTGCCTGGCGCAGCCGGGCCACAGCATAGCGCCGCACTGTGGGGTTGGTGTAATGGGAGGACAGTAGCTCCAGGGAATCCTCCACGTCCATGGGCTTCCATTTCCCCAGCAGTTCCAAAGCCTGTTTGGCCTCCTGAGGTAGATCCCAGTTAACACATTTCAAGAATTTTGTCAAAGCCTAAAACCAGAAAAGATGTTTAAATTAGAAACAGCAGCCTATGACCTGGGGCAGGGAAGGTCAAGAGTCATGAAGCAGGTTCCCCTTGGTCCTAACGGAAGAGTGGCAGAGTCAGTGACAGACTCCTTCTGTGAACACTGCACAGTCATAGAAACACAATGCAGGGCAGGAAAATACAAAAGCATGTTCCCTCTAACTTCACAGGTCAAACTACTTTCAGGGTACTATGGATTTTTCCAGTTTTCTTTTACTTTTCTTCACTATGTTTTGCTATTTTATTTATTTTGAATTATGTGTGTGTGTGTGTGTGTGTGTGTGTATTATTGATATTTAGAAAGAGAGGAAAGGAGAATGATAGAAAAGTTTATGAGAGAGGTCAATAATTGGCTGCCTCATGCACAGCCCCCACTGGGGATTGAACCCACAATGCGGGCATATGCCCTGACCAAGAATCGAATTGGAGACCTTTTGGTTCCTGGGTCAATGCTCAAGCACTGAGCAGCAGGGCTTGCTTTGGTATTTTAAAACACTAGAGGCCTCAAGACAAAGTTGAGGCATGTCTCATGAACTCCCCAATGCTTCTGATACGACCTGACCGTTTTACCACAGTCACATGTGACATAAAATAGCCAATGAATGAGAAATTCTGAAGCCAAAGCAGGGCAGACTCCTCACCACTAGGCAGACTCCTCACTAACTCACCTTGAACATTTCTCTAGAGTCATTGGATTTCTTAGATTCTCACATACATAAGGACTCAAATGATTATGTTTTATATCTCTTCACAGACACAGACAAACACTCCACAGAAACAAGTGTAAAAATAGATAAACATAGAAGCAGTAGCAAGATTCAGATGTTTTTAGTAGCTTTCTGAAACCTCACTACTTTAGATCGGTAGCATATTGAAGTTTTCACCAGACTGTCAGGTAAGTAAATTACCTTGGAGCATGTCACTCACGGTTGCATACATAATAGATGCTCTTTAAAGAAAGCAGCTTACCTGTCAAAAATTCAACTTTCCAGAAACTTTTTGGCAACTTTCAGCTCTTCCTTCAGTAGCTGCCTCAATCCTACTACCTTCATTTAAATGACGCTCTTCTAACTGCCAAATACTTTTGAGGGCTTTCTTATTTCTACAACTGGAGTCTGCATTCCCCAAGGATAGCACACAGTTTAGTACAGTGTTTCCTCTTCCAACAAGAACACATTCTGCCCTAGGAACCATCCATGCAATTATTTTTCACTTCTAAAATGTATGTCTAGGTTGAATGTGGAAACAAAGCAATACTTCTTAAATAACTACAGCAAAAGGTTTTCCATTTCATCTTACATCAGCAACCTTAATAGAAACATGCGGCTATGTGCTTATTATAAGCAAATCTTGCAGCATACCTATATACTCAACTCAATAACTGACACAGTCTAACACCCATATTTTCAGATTTGTAAACTTATTAGTAAGATTTATAGCATACCCTACTGCCAATATATATAAAAGACACTGTACAAAGATTTTTCAACTTTATAATGTTAAATGTTACAAATATAGACAAGGAGGTAGTAGGATGAAAGAAACAAGAAGAGAAATGATAAAGACAGAAAGCATAAGACTCTGAAGACAGCAATAATAATGATAATACTTCATCTTAAAGATGCTTTATTGATCTCCGTAAAGGTACAGAATTCAAACTTAATGTGATCCCCGGAGTGTATACATAAGCTTGAGAACCAGTGTATTTTTTTGGGTCAAATCCCAACTCTTGGCTCCATCAATTATTAGCTGAGTCATTTGGAGCACATTATTTAACTTCTAAGTGACCTATTTCATTAGGTTGTAGTTAAAATTAAGTAAGTTATTGAATAAAAATGTTTAGGACACTAGCTAATACATAATAAATACTTGATAAATGTTAATATTTTATTATCCAATATTTTAATCCATTTCTGATATAGAGTCAGACATCAAATGTTAACATTATCACACTTATTACTGTTTTATATTAATAACAATAAATATTTTTGTCAAACTCCCTTTGATCTTAGAATTACCTCATTTGTACAGCCTATTCTTAAAATCATAAGTACAATCATTTTATAGCTGAAAAATACAATACTTATCATATATATTTCTAATTTTAACTCATACCAACTCAGTTATTGGAAATTTCTACTTTGTTACTAAAGGAAAAGCTATTCCTCTACTCAAGACAATCCTGATACCAAGCATGTGAGTTTTTTATACCATTCAACTCCCTAATTTTCTGAAGACACAAACTGGGCATTCTACAACTTAATTCAATTGTGACATTAACACCTGGGGCCTGTCTCACATGATTAATTCCCATTTCAGAGGCCAACTTTAGATCCCCAGGGTGCCCAGATTTCTGAATACGTTCCTCCAGTTCAATATTTGCTATACTGGCTCACAGAACTCAAAGAAATACTTTACTTACTACTGCTGGTATATTATATAGGACACAAATGAATAACCAGATGAAGAGTACATTGGGCAAGGTCTGGAGGAGTCCCAAACTCAAGAGCTTCTTTCCCCTTACAGTCTGGGGTGCCATTCTCCTGTTCACTAACCCAGAAGCTCTATGAATTCCATCAGTTATGAAGGTTCCACTACTTAGGCATGATTTATAAATCACTGGCCCCTCTCAATCCCCAGGCCCTCTCCCAGAGATCAGGGGGCAGGCTAAAAGTTCCAGCCCTCTAATCACAAGGTTGGTTACTCTGGCAACCAACCACAGCCTCCAGGAGCCATCTCATTAACATAAACTCAGGTATAAACATGTTTCCTCCCATCACTACCACTCAGGAATTCCTGGGTTTTAGAAACTATGCCAGGAACCAAAGACCAAATGTATATTCCTTGTTATATTGTGGTATCACGTTGTTTTTCTAATAAATTCAATTCAAAACATTAAAAAATGAAAGCATCTCCTCACCCTGCTCATTCTACTGGCCACATTTCCTTTGTCCAGGCACTGAGGCCGGAAGTCCTGGGAGCAGTCTCCAAGTCATTTTATACATTCTCTTTTCCCTGTCCTCCAACTTAGCTCTCAAAATCAGAACCCCAAGTTTTCTATATGCCTTTTTTTCATTCTCAGCTCTGCTCCCCATCTACCCTGGCTAGTCTTTCTTAAAACATCACTTGTTAAGACACATGCTGTTGCTTTCGTGGTTTCCTATTGCCAGTGAAATCCAAGTCCCAAGCACAGAACTGGAGGCTCTTCACAAGCCAACCCCACCTTTCCTATTTCATAAGAGGCTTTGTCTCTAAGCCTAACACTGCCTTACTCATGCTTTTCATCCCCATGAAGACGATCACCAAATAAAAAATACCATGAAAGCATACTCAAATTTAAAGACCAGTCTTTGCTCTGTGAAACCTCCTTCATATCACAGCACACCGACCTTGTTCTACTCCACATTTCTGTTACAGTAATTACCTAAACGTTTGCTAAGAGAATAACCCTTGATCAATTATTATCACATACTTCTCCATTTTGATTATATTTAAACTAGAAGATGGGTGTACAAAATTCATGCAAGGGTGTGTGTGTGTGTGTGTGTGTCCTCAGCCCACCCACGACCCTTTGGGGAATGTCCAATTGTCTGATGCCCACAGGATTGGACCTAAACTGGAAGTCAGACATCCCTCTCGCAATCTGGGACCACTGGCTCCTAACAGCTCGCCCACCTGCCTCATCACTGATTGCCCCTTACCATTCTGCCTGCCTGATTGCCCCTAACTGCTCACCTGCCTGTCTGATCGCCCCTAACTGCTTACCTGCCTGCCTGTTTGCTCTTAACTGCCTCTGCCTCACCCCCCGTGGCTTCATCCAGAAGGTCATTCAGCTGTCCAGTCTAATTAGCATATTATGCTTTTATTATTATAGAATTATAAATGTTCTTTCCCTGAAACAGTTTTAGTTTATATAAAGACTAAGAAATGATATTGAAAGTATGTACTTTTTAATAATACTAGGCCAAGAATTGATAACAAGTGCTTCTTGAACTGAATTAATCCCAGCATGGTTTGCCACCAACTTCTTGTCAGGATGCAAAAATATGATTGTGTCCGCAGAGTGCCAATGTCACTGTCTCAGTAGCTACCTTCAGAACATTCAGTGTATCACCATTACTTTACCATACATGACTCTTCCTACCACATTTTCCTCCAACATAACTTAAAAGTATTAAGTACACATAACAGTTATTTTTTTAATTAACATTTTTATAAGAAAGGATGTTTACCAGGAAAAAAGCTAGTTTTGAAGAGTTACAATATTCACATTTTGGGTTCCATTAAAATTAATCACTGCTTAAATGCTAATGGACCACAGATTTTAAAATACTTCATAAATTTAACTGGTTTGGTTGGACAAGCTGCCATCAACTTTCTAAGTGCAACATCAAGTCTAGGCTAGATGGCTTTCATTGGCAGTACTGAAGACTGTGTTCCAGCAAGCCCTGAAGGTCACATAGACAAAAATAGGTAGAAAGACCAAATTTAACAACAACAACAAATAAATATAACTTTGTAAGAACAAATTTCCACCAATTTGTTTTCTGGGCACTGCTATCTCCTCCAGAAAATCTTTTTAGCTTCAGTGACCAAATGCCAAATAAGCTAAAGCACTGTTCCTGGGAAATTGACCTTCTTTGTGTAGATAAATTAAGGGACAAGGGTACAGGAGTATCTGTTTCCTACAAAACCCATTTTAAATTATTACAAAGATACAAATGTGTCTGTGTGAATATGTTCTCTGGTCACTTCAAGGCCAATATATTGAAAAGTGCTTTCCAAACATTGGAAAATATCGTCCACTTGGCCTAGTGATCATAAGAAGCCTATAATATGTCCTGAGAATTGAAGTTTCATCACCTACTCTTCGAAAGCTTAAAATCAACTGGTTAAATGAAACTTGTCATACACTTTATATCACTTGAGCATTTTATTTCTTTTGCACATATCTAGAAGTAATTGAATTTCAGTGGGAAGTGACTACTTTTTAAACAAACTATTTTTCTTGGGAGCCTTTCCATCTGAGGCAGTTCTGCTCTGTAAATCTATTCTATGCTTCTTGAGCCTATCCATTCTAACAGTTTAATTCAATATCTTACTGTGTATTTTAGATAAGACTGCTGTACTCAAAATACAATTTCTGTGACCAACATTATTTTCATTTAATAGAATATCATATCCTAACTCAATTTATTTTTATAAAACACAAAATAAGAAACCTGTGATTCTACTGAGGACTATTTTCTTTCTTGTGGTGATGAAGAGAGTAACAATCAAAGCTAGAGTAAATATAAATTCTTCTCTCATTCTTGTTATGGATATAAAGAGAATGACTCAACTATTATACAAAGAATTTCCAAAGGCCTCAATAAAAGATAAAGATTCAGAGCTGAAGAGTTATGATGAGTTGCAGATGAATTTTTATCTTTATTTTGAAGTTAGGAAAATACAATTGTTTCAGAAAAAAAAGTTAAAGCAGCTAAAGACCATCTCATGAAATATGAAACATACTAGAGATCCGGTGCATGAAATTTGTGCATGGGTAGGGTCCTTAGGCATGGATGACGATCAGGGCTAATCAGGTTTTGTACTCCTGGCTTCCCCACCTACTTCTTCCCTCACTCCCTCAGTGCCCTGTTGCTGCCTCTGGTCAGCGCACCTCATAGCGAGAGAATGAACTCCCAAGGGGACATTTGCATATTAGCCTTTTATTATATAGATTTATTCATTCTCACAGAATTATAGAACAGCTTTCTGACAGATATTAATTTTCCTTTTGTTTCTCTGTTCTGCCCACAATGCATTTCATAATTTCTGTTGAGGCATGTGCATGATGCTACAGACTAGGATCTCTACAATCCTCTATTTTGTCTTTACTGATGACTTTCTAATCTAACTCATAAATATTAGCACATCAAGAAGCAACATTGAAAATCTGTGTTGCACAGGTTCTTTAATCTAAGACTCAAGTTTCCTCATCTGTAGAACAGTAACAATATTTAAATTGGCCCAGCCAGTAAGGCTCAGTGGTTGAGCATTGAACACTGAACCAAGAGGTCATAGTTTGATTCCTGGTCAGGGCACATGCCCAGGTTTCAGACTTGATCCCCAGTTGGGGGCATGTAGGAGGCAGCTGATCAATGATTCTCTCTCATCACTGACATTTCTATTCCTCTCTTTCTCTCTCCCTGCTTCTCTGAAATCAATAAAAACATATTATCATTAGTAATAATACCTAAATTATGGGGTTGTTATGGGGCATAAAAGATACTTGGCTTAAAAAGCTATTTAATAGATACTGGCTACTATTATCATATTTTAAGAGTCTTTGAACCAATGTTCTAAGATTTGCAGACTATTTTAGAACTGGAAGAGACTTAAAGTGTACTGTCATTTAATCAATCATATTATATCTGAGGAATTTAAAGCTTAGGTAGGTGAAATAATCTGCCTGCAGTAAAAAGCTTATTAGTGGAAATACTGAGAGTAAAAACCAAGTCTGCAGATGCAGGTCTAATACTGACTTCATCATAATTCCCTCTCCCCAGAGACTTTATCTGCTCCATAGCTTCATTATGGAAAGCAAATGTCTAGTTCTGACCCAGCCTCTATCTTGCACTCCAAGCTGGCTATCACTCTATCAACTCAATTTATACATTTCAAATTATATTTCTCATAATCTCTCTAGCCATTCGTCCTCCAGAATTCTACAGTCCTTTAGTGATGTAAATATTCTGCTAGCCAATCCAGGCTCAAAGAAGTGAGAAGAAAAGAGACAACTCAACATTTATTCTGTACCTATTATTCACCAGGTACTCGGACAGGTTATTCACCTGATTATCTCACCTGCTAAGGAGCATTTCACCATTAAAAAATGAGGAAACCAAGCTTCCAAAACAAATTGCCTCATCTTATCTACTAATAATAAGTTGCAGCACCAGAAACCAAACTCATGCTTCTGACCTAACCTATTCAGTCGCTATCTACGCATCAGCAAATGGGTACGTGTCTTTGTGTGTCTACCTCTCTAATTTAAAAAAAAAAAAATGGATTATCACATATATTGTTCTGCAACTTTTTAATAAATTTGACAAGAACTCTGTATTTCCATGGCAGTAATGCTTCGCCTCGTTCATTAGCAACAAACATTGTAGATACATTTGATACATGAAAACATTCAAGAAACTTACTTTTTCTTGGTTAGTAAGATAATATCTAAACTTCCAAACAAGATCTTGTTCTTCATATGTGAGTTGCTTGGTTGGTGGATAACTCACAATAATCTGCAAAAAATAAACAAAAAGAACGACTTTTATCAAATATATTCTTCCCCTGTATTTCCATTTCATTTAAAAATTTTCATTTACTTAAATAATTCTATTATAGAACTACTATAGAAACATGGAGAATATGCATGCAGTCAAGTAAGACTTAAATTTACTGTTCTTACCAGTCCAAAAAAGATATTACTAAAGGAGAGAAAAAGATATGAAAAAATCATATTCCATATAAAGTATATAACTACAGACCTAATTTAATTAAACCAAACCAAACCAAACCAAACCAAATAACTAAAGCCTCGCCCTTAAACAGGAAAAATCCAAACAACAATTCTTTCTTATCCAGTCAACATGCACAACCATGCCTGTGTGCATACCAAGGCCTCTCTTGGGCAATGCAGCTTAGGGCCATTGGGCCAGTTGTAAGAGTGCTACTGTGTGAAAGTATATGCTATTTGTAGCTCTATCTCCAGGCCGGATATATTTACTGAAAGCCCCAAAATAATAATAAAACTACCAAAATTTGAAATTACTTTGGGTTCATTAACCTTCAAAAAGTGAAGTGGTATCATATCAATTATAACCAACATACCCATGTAATTCTTTTTATATTAATATTTTATAAATTCTTACGTTTAGTTGGTCTCTTGTGGCAGCATTAGGCTTGAGATCATGGTCAGAAGGTCCGCTTCTTAAACTCCGCGCAAGCTTGTGGTGTTTGCTCTCAACCAAGTTCTCCTATTAATTATTTTAAAATACTTATCAACGATGTAAACTTCACCGAAAGGAAGTTTTAATACCAGTTAGAAAAGTTAATAGTTACTTAAGACCATTTTATAATACTATTTTGTTTTGGTTACAACTTTAGTCTCCTAGGTGTCTTAAAAATATATCACCATTTCGAGCTAATAAAACCAAGCATGCTTTATGCTGCACTAGTGCTCTAACAGGCATACACATGGCATTCCAGCTTCTTAAAACATCTCTATTCTCCAGGCATTCAAGGTTTTTATGTTCTATCTCCATTCAAACACCACCTTCTCTTTAAGATCTTCCTTCACAACCCAGACTAAAATCCCATCTGAACTTGATTCTAGATAGCTGAAGTGGATTTATAAATCACTTTTAGGTAACTGAGGTACTTATATACTTTTGAAAAAAAAGTGCATGATGTCCATCTAAGTCATAATCACTCTGGATTGGAGCATTTTCTTAAGAAACTGGATAATAACTTACCATAGACATCTGAGGGTCAGGAACTTTCACTATCTCAAAGCTTGTTAAAATTGGAGATGACTCATCACCATCCTGGATTACAATGTGATAAATTTCCAAAATAAGAAGGTAAATAAAATTTAACCAAATAGTTAAAAACAATCCATGATAATGTATACTTCAATTACTTTAATTCTATTTAATGAACATCCTTCCTTTTAAAAATTAATCTTCTTTCAACTACATTTTAAAATATATTATATTTTTTACCTTTTATTGTTGATAAAATATTTCAAGAAAAATAAAATATTACAATAAAAATTTGTAATATAGTTTTTTTTGGAGATATGATGTCTGGAAATTAGATGATTTTTGTCTTAAAAAAAAAACCTCTGTTTATAATGGCAGCATAAAAAAAAAAGTTCAAATTTCCAAAGTTAGAATAAGAAATCACAGAGCTAATTAAAATATAATATAATGGATGAGTTATACCACTTGCAAAAACTACTAACTAGATGTTGGCAACTTCAAATTGTCACAATTGAGTTCCACTCAGCAGTAGAATTGTAAGTGTGGGGTTAATGCTACTCAAATTTATACACAGCAAGAGACTCAGCAGCATGGCTTCTCAGAGGGATAGCTACTCAACACAATGCAAACCTGAATAACGAGAATCAGTCAATCAATTCTTAAGAAATAAAACTGTCTTATTTTGTTGGTATTATCATTTTTTGAAAAATGTTGCCTTTTATTTTGATCCAATTCAGGCAAGGAAAGGTAATATAGGATAATAAAATGTCACTGCATAAGAACTGGAAAAGACTAAATTTAAAGTCAAAATTCATTTCCTCAAAATTGTATACCCAACATCAAATTTTTCTGTCAATTTCCAAATTCTCCTATTTTCAACTTTGGATGTGTGCAACTAAATCAGGAGACTGAAAGAGGGGAAGTACTGTGACTTTACTTTAGTCCGGTAATTGAGTCTTAGAGAAACCACAAATTCCCATAGCCATTGTTTAACAGGCTGGTTCTTAGTCACAACACTAGAAAACACATTTATCTGCCCAACTGTGACAAGTAATCTTCACTAAAGCTATCTGTCACAAAAGACAGGTGACAAGAAAGTCTATTTCCATTAGATTCAATACACTGGCCCAGCAATCTTTACACTAAGTGGAAATATGACAGGATGGGTACACAGGCATTAATTTATGGACAATTTTTCAAGAAGCAGTAGAAAGGGGTCAAGAACCTTTGCAAAAAAAATTGAAATTCTTCTAATTTCTTTTCTGTTATTTTATCTATTATTAAAACAGTCTTTCAAAAGATCCTTCACATCTCCAATGTTCTAAATTATCACCTCAATCAGTATGCTTTTGCAATATAAACTCCATATGGGCAGAGGATAACACTTTTAATGAAATTACATATGGCATAAAGTATAAATGTAATTTTGTTAAAATATATTGGTGACAAAATTACATACACCTATATTTCCCTTGCCTTTTATAAGATCATTTTTCTAATGAATTAACAATGTTAGTCTATCTTTTTATCTCCTTTCCCCACCCACCCCAAGAAATATCATTCTATTACTAAAAGCCTATGTGGTAGCAACGCCTTCATTCTGTGATGCTCTCATGCATAACGAGAGATCACCAGGAACCTGCATGCATAGCAACGCACACAGGTGGGCAGGGGCTTGACACTGCGTGTGCTGCCGGCAGGTGAGCCCCATGGGTCTGCATGGTGAGGCCAGGGGACCCGTGGCTCCAGCCTACCTCTTTAGATCAATCCATCTAGGAGCCCCAGATGGGTGGGCAGGGTCTACCTCTTTGGGGCCATTGATCACGGGGCTCTTGTACTGTGAGATGGCACAGGACAGGCTGGGGGACCCCACCCCCCGACACTCAGTGCACAAATTTTGTGCATTGGGCCTCTAGTTTATAAAATAAAAATCTGAAACAAGTTAATGTTTCCTAATTTTTTACTAAAAAAAAAAAAAAAGGATATAAGCTCAAGGGGAAAAATAAATATTAACCTGAAAAATACCAGGAAAGTGCTTATAAATTAACTATACAAATGGTACACCTCCATTATAAATACATCCTTCAAGTAATAAATTATAGTTATAAATACATATTTTTTAAATCACTTGTGATAGCTTTAACACACTAAAGTTGAAATGTGATTTAAAATTGCTGCTTCTAATGAACAAATATACTGCATATAAGCTTAGTTATGTGCTAGAGAAAATATTTTTCTATTATGCCATGTATTAAAAGGCTGTCCTCATTCATACTGATGTAAGCACTTCTTAGTATTTTTACAATGATTGCATTTATCTGGTTTATGTTGTTTTGAACTATGCATATAGTTATTTCTGTGGTACCTAAATGAAGGCCCTTCACGTGGCATTTAAGACACAGATATTTTCTAGAGGCTACATGTCAAACCACACACCACTTTCTTTCACATAATGAGCTGACGAGAAAATCCAGAATTGCATGTTATCACTCAGCCTACCAATAACATTATCTTAATTCTGCATTTATTTTACATATAAATAAATGCAGATTTGTGAAGTCTTTCATAAGTATACTTATGTTTGGGTCACATATAAAATTCCATTACATTATATATAAATACTCAAATAATAAGCAATCCTTAATGTTCAATAACATACCACTTAAAAAAAAAAAAAAGCATGATCCCCCTTTTTACTTTTCAAATAAATTTTAATTGTTAGTAAAGTTATTGCTTTAATATCTTACTTGCCACTTTTCAGAACAATTAATCAAAAAGTTTTTGATTTCTTGCATATTTATTTAATTCTGTAACCCATAACTGCATTCCACGAATGATCGGCTTTTGTAATCTTGGAGTTACAGGATGATTTGTGCATACATAAACAGCTGTGTCTGACAGCTGTCTTCTGCTATCCTGTAACCAAATAATTCATCTCAGCAGGAACAACAGTATTTTTTTTTTTTAATGTTTAACCTCCCCTCTACGTTAGAGACCATAACCGTTCCAAGGCAAGTACCTTTTCATAATAAACAATGCCATATTCCTTATCGTCGCACTTGACACATCGAAACTCAACCATTAAGTACATGAAATTAGAACTTCGTTTTTCACTCTAAAAAAAAAAAAAAAAAAATTCTTATGAAAAATAATAATTTTCAACATTCTCCTAAAGAATCAGTATGTATCACTATTCCTAATTCAGTAATACATGGATCTATCAGATACAACTTAGAATATGACAAATTTAATTTCGTTATTATAAATGCGCTGTTTCATACAGCACTTCTATCTTATATACAGCACCACTCTTTTATCCAGTACCGTCTACTAGTCATTTACAACTCCCTCCTAAAACTTAATGACATTGTAGGTTTATTCATAGTTTGGATTTTATTATATAAAATCTCGATGATATTATCTATATATTGCATTAGAACTATTTACTTTAAAAAATAAGGATGTTCCCACAGAGGGAAGCCAGACTGTGGCTTATGCCCACTCCTCCCAACCCCACCATAAAAGGTAGACCATTACTTACCCTAATATGTGTGTGTGTGTGTGTGTATAAACACACACACACACACACACACACACACACACACACACACACACACACACACACTAGAGGCCTGGTGCACAAAAATCGTGCACTGGGGATGGGGGTTCCCTCAGCCCAACCTGCCCCCTCTCATGTACCTGGTAGTCCTCAGGGAATGTCCTACTGACAAATGAAGCATCAAATTCACAAAGGCTTCATTTATATAATAGTTAATACACTTATAATATCCACTACCTACTTATAACATTAAGATATAAGAAAGGCATATCCCAAGTTTTCACTTATTAGCATAGGTCTCCCTAAACTACACGTTATTCAATAGTCCTAATAGATACCAGCAATAAATCTTGTCCAAAAATTCTTGATTTAGATAGTTGTGAGAAAAATATTTTGAAATATAAAAGAGAATACAACCCACCTCATTTATCATTTCAATTTCTCTAAATGTCAATCTGTCCAACCAATCTACTTTCACCATGTGTCCTTGTCGATGGGCTTTGGTGAGCTGCAGAACAAATATAATGAAGAAAAATTTAACACAGACCACACAGAAAGGGGGGAGGGGGCAGCAATGCCCATTGCATCCTTGAAAATATGAAAGAATGTACCAAAAAAAAACAAACCCTAAAACTAATAGCAATTATAGCAAGGTTGCAGAATATAAGATTAATATAAAAAGTCAATTACTTTCTTATATACGTGGAATCTATGTATATAAAAGCCTAAGGGATCATTATAACCAAATGACCAGAATGAATGGATAACTGGCTAGTAGCTATGACATGCGCTGACCCAGACCTTGCTTCTGGGGCCCTGACAGCCCCAAATCTGGTTCACCTGCACCCTGCACCCAGACAGGAGGGAGGAGGGAACCGGATTCCTTGCAAAATTAGCTGTTGGTTAGCCTGCTGCTGGAGTCAACCTCCCACGGTACCTTCCCCCTACCAGCAGGCTCCCCCATCGACCCTGATCACCAGCCATGACAAGGGAGCCCACCTGTGCACAGATTCATGCACCAGGCCTCTAGTTGAAAATAAAAACACAGAGGTATGTAAATCATATCTCAATAAAGCTGTTATTTTTTTGAAGCATCTTTTATATGAGCCCCCAGAAAAATGAAATTGGTAAAAATCTAAGAAAATACGTAAAAGATCTATATGAGGAAAACTACAAAACTCTGATTAATGAAACTAAAAAAAAAAAAAAAAAAAACCCCACAAATAAAAGACACTAAACAAATGGAGAGATATTCCTGTTCATGGATAGGAAGACTCAAAATTATAAAGATTTCCAGTTTGATTAAACTTGATGGATAAATTTAATGTAATTCCAGTGAAAATCCCATCAAGTTATTTTGCAGATAACAAAAGGACACTAAAATTTATGTGGAGAGGAAATGATCTAGAACATTCAACATAATATTGAAGGAAAATAACAAAATCCCAGCATCAATAATTATTATAAAGTTACAATAATCAAGACAGTCTGGCATTGGCAAAAGAACAAATATACTGTCTGTTCTTTTGCCAATGCCAGACTATCTTAATTATTGTAGCTTTATAATATACTAATGGAATAAAGACTCTGGAAATATATTCACATAACTATATTTAAGTGATCTTTAACAAAGGAGTGGAGGTAACTCTATGGAACAAAGATAGTCTTTCCAACAAAAGAACTAGCTAGAAATCCACATACAAAAAAATGAATCTAGAAATAGGAGTTATACCCTTCAAAGGAAAAAAATTAGTACAACCCTTATTTTTCATTTTCAAGCCAATAAAAAATTTAAAGTGGATATCAGAAGCATAGAATCACAAACATTTTAAAAATATATATTTTATTGATTTTTACAGAGAGGAAGGGATAAATTATGGGGAAAAATAAAAATAATTACAAAGCTATATATGTGTGTGTGTGTGTGTGTGTGTGTGTGTGTGTGTGTGTATATATATATATATATATATATATGTATATATATATATATATATTTTACTTTTTTTCTATGCCACTTAAAAAAAAACAACAGCACACAAATAAGCAGGAAAAAAATCCATTCTGCTCTGACATCAGACAAAACTTTTAGAGTCACAGAGCCTATGCAAAATTTTCTCTTGAAGCATTTGTAGGAACATTGCCCAATAAAAATGCCTGGTACTGCCATAGGTAAAACTATCCTCTCCACCATCACCACTCACACACACACACACACACATATAGTCATACAGGGGAGTGTTTCTTGAACTACCTCCTATCTTGTTCCTCTAAATTCCTTTCAGTTAAAGGACATAATATAGTAATTAGAACACCATTATTCCTCAGCTAATCTATTTAAATAATGAACTATGGTTCATTCATAAATATTTATTATTAAAAAGTATAATTCTTCAATAAACATTAAGACAGAGTTTCATCTGTATCAAATAAAATGCAAGCAATGCAGTAATTTATAATTGAGGACAAAATGAGCTGTAAATAATTACTACTACTGAAAGTAAAAATGGAGTTGTACATATTTCCTAGAGAATTGGCACACATGCCTGTGTATTAAATCCTTAGGTAACGTAGATGTGCTTTCAGCTTCCTGATTAATGAAGTTTTAGCCACAAATCTTCAATTTTACTTTGAAACTTTATATAGAAATCTTACTCAGGAAGAGTAGTCTTTACCTCATAAAAGTTGCATTCAGCTGAACTTCTCAGAGATTAATCTAGTCTTAAAACCATGTTACCTTCTATTTTTTTCTGGCAGGAATTATAGCTCTAAAGACAGACATAAATCAATATTATTTCAGGGTTCAATCTTCCCTTCTCAAACTAATTGTCTACTTGCTATCATTAATTTCAAGAAAAATCGAGAAATTTAGACAGTCTCAGACAACAGTAAGCAAACCAAAATGACTGATAGAAAAGATTCTACTATGTATCATCAGGAATACATTCCTTAGAGATTCCCAAATCCTTCTTTTAAGACAGAAAAAAATGGCCACACACAATCAAATAAGCTATGCTTATAAAAGTTACACATATTATTTAGGGGAAAAAACCTATAGCTAAGAGATAATTTTGATGTCAATGTTGCCACTAACCAAGTTTCATAGCTTTAAATAATTTCAGCATCTGTCATCATAATTTGTTGTTATTCTCATTTACTAACATTGAGAAAGAAAATAAAACAAAATGAGACTTTTCTGCCCAACTTAGTCCAATACTGCATTACATAGTTTATACCATAACTAATATCAGTTCATAAGTGAACTGGCTGGAAGATAGAAAAATAAAAGATAATCAAGTTAAATCATTATCACTATTGAAAAATTGACACTGAGGTGAGGAGACCTAAATAAGTAAAGATATTACAAAGAATAATATCTTCCCTAGAAAAGCCCTAACATAAACACAATTAAAATTATCTCTAGGGACTCAGTATTACATTCTGAAAACAGTAAACCATGTCATTAAAAGGAGGAAAAATGATTCTTAATAGGTCCTACTAAATAATGTGTTCTATTAAACTAGTTTTACATGAATGTTTTCTCAGAAAGCTGCTTCATGCCAGAAATGCATTCAGAACCCAAGAAAAGTACACTTAATGTGCTATACTATGAACAAACTGGTCTGAGGTTTTCTTTTTCAAAATAGCTAAAAAAATGTTAATAAAAATGGCATAATTATGATTCTTATAAATAGAGAGAATGAAACCCAATTAACCATACTTCTTCAACAAAAAATATTCACAAGTACAAAAATAAATGGTTATACAATGAGCCAGTATCAGATCTAAAAATCAGGTCTTTTAACTACCAATCTTTCTACCCAGTTATAATGTAACTTATTACTATTTAAATCTTCCATCAGTTTTGATAGTTCTATTAATTTTAAAAGCATAAAAAGAAAGGTAATGCCTCTATCAAAACATCTCCTTGGATAATCCCATGTTCCCCATTTCTCTAAAATCTAACTACAGAGTACATACAGAATTTTAAATCCACATAAATCAATTTGATAATCTATCCTAGTATTTGTAAGAAAAAAAATGATGTCCAGCTTATAACAAAACTCATTATTTATTTTATTTTTTTAAAATATGTTTTATTGATTTTTTACAGAGAGGAAGAGAGAGGGATAGAGAGTTAGAAACATCGATGAGAGAGAATCACTGATCACCTGCCTCTTGTACACCCCCTACTGGGGATGTGCCCGCAACCAAGGTACATGCCCTTGACTGGAATCGAACCCAGGACCCTTCAATCCCCAGACCAACGCTCTACCCACTGAGCCAAACCGGTTTTGCCACAAAACTCATTTTTTAAATCAGATTTTTAAAAGACAAAACATTTGCCCATCTTTTTCCCCCCAATAAATATCTTCCCTTTTCTAGGTTAATCTAAATGGATTGAATAAAAGAGACTTCTTTACCAATACTAACTTTCTAGCTGATCACACAAAGAAACTAGCAACTGCTTTCTCTGTGTGGCTCCTAAAATATTTCTCTAAGTTTACCAGCATCTGTTCTTATAAGTTAAAAAATAAAATTGATTTGAAAGAGAGAAAGGAGAGAGGGAGAAAGAGAAGGAGGAAGGGGGAGGAGGGAGAGAGATTTGTTCCACTTACGCATTTATTGGTTGGTTCTTATAAGTGCCCTGGCCAGAGATCGAACCCACACCCTTGGCATATGGGGACAATACTCTAACCACTGCCAGAGCAGCATCTGTTCTACTTGACTTTTATCTGTAGTAAAGGGTTCTCACATGTCTGTACCCTGAAGTTCCTACAATATTGTGCAGACAGCAGGTTCAAGTAATTCTGCAACTAGAAAGATAATGTCAAGAGAAAAAGCCCTTTTTCAGACTTCCCTCAAAATGAGAGAAATATCTCACACAACTTTCTGGTTCCTTCAGGGTAGCTCATGCTTCAAGGCTCACTAAGAAGCAGCAATCTCCTGAAGACTAACTTAATTTCCAAGGTATTGAAAAATGGTATCCTGAGTAGCAGACACAAGTAACATGATTACCAGGAAGACAATAACATGATTACTCATCCATTACAAATCAGTAAAATGGCACTCTAGGCCAGTGCTATCCAATTGCACTTTCGCCAATAATAAAAAGATTCCCTATCTTCATTTTCCAATACGTAGCTGCTAGCCACATGTGGCTAGTGAGCACTTAAAGTGTGATTATTACAATATAACTATGGTAACATAAAATTCTGAATTTTATTTAACTTCAATAAACTTAAATTTAAATTGCCACCTGTGAATTGTGACTATGACAGCTTTAAACTGTAAATAACTGATTGAATTTACTGACATGAACCTTTTCTCAATATAACTATAATAGTTATTTCTGGAAGTACTAAAAAAATCCAGCTCCCACTGGTATAAAACTAAGGTCTGGAGCCTGGACCAGAGTGACCCCAAGCAGGCAATTTGAAGGCCAGTCTAATACACCATATCTTACACTATTTCACTGTGCCAATGCTCACTTACACACTGCTCAACATTCCCCCACTACCTGTGTCACTCAGACCACAAAACATTTTTCTTCTAGTTGTTACTTTCTCTTTGCGACCTCTTAATCAAATTGACAGAAACTAAAGCACATTCCAAAGGCATCAAGCAGAGATGCTAAAATGAAAAAGAGACAGTAGACAAGCATGCTTTTGCACTAACCTTTCATGTCTAAAGACATGGATTCAAGTATAAATCAAACACTAAAGCTTGGTAGTCACATCCAAAACCCCAGGTGGATATGCATCCTAGTCATAAAACTCTTATAATATGACAAGTTGAAAAACAGAGCAGATGGGAACAATGGGCAGATTTGCTCAAGGCCACAATCATTAAAAGGCTGGGTCATGGACAATGAAAGTGTAATGAATGACCCAGAAGTTTTGCCTTTATTTTCACAAATCAATTCAAACAGAAATATTTATATTAATAAAAATTATTAGGGCAATTAGAGATCGGTAAGAGAAAATGAGGAAGATGTGGTGGTGGGGGGGTTGTACTATGATGTTAATTTCTTTCTGCTTCCACTAAGTCTTAGAAATCCAGTTATATAAAATAACTAAACCAAAAACTATTCAGTTTTGTCTCCTTTATTCACATTCATTTTTCCTCAAAGGAAAACTACACATAATCATTAGGGAGGTTAATTCCATTAAAATTTTCCTGAAAGAATTTGATTTTTAAATTGTTAAACCTAGAAGTAAGGCTTTTAAACTTCAGTTATTCATATTGTGGTTATAATTCTATTTGCATAGCTGAGCAATAAATCAGAATAAGAATATTTAATCCTGCTTGGGTTTGAGGTTCTTTGTTTAATAATTATATAACACCTTCTTTTTACAGGCCATTTAAATAGTTCATCTTCATTTCACAGTCCTCTTGTGCCATTATCCCCAGGCAGCAAAGACTTAGGCAGTTCTATAACTGAATAAACTTTCTTACATTGCAGTTTGAAAACTGTCACTATGCTATTTATTTTGGCTCGAGGGTACAATGCACGGTAACTATGCTGTCCTATTATTAAGATTTATGTAACTCTTATGCCAACTGCCTTCTGAACAATTAGAAACAGGCAGAGTAAAATCACTGGCTGGAAAATCAAAAGTGCAACAGGAAACAAACCATTTCGTTCTATCCCCATAATCCTCATCTATTTGTATACTCCTTTCTTGTCTTAAAGAGTGTGTAAAATAGAAAGTATTACATCTACAATTTCTGTTCCTTTTGTGTAAAAGTAGAAACACGAGCATACACCTTCTTTCCCAGTTTTTATAAGTGTATTGTACCAAAAAAGATCTTCAAACAGTATTTAGCAAAATGCTTTGGGAGCAGATATTGACAAAATAAATTATATTGTTCTATTTTAAGCTTCTGTTTAAAGCTCAGATTTGTTTAGCTTTTGCATTTCTAAATAAAAACACTAGATTTAAAGTTTTGAAAGATAAAGGTAATATCACAGTCCGCTTACAAAAACAGAAGTGGGAGTGGAGTGAGGACAATTTAAACTAAGGAATCTTCACTTCAAAACAACACAAGGTTCTCTAGCATGTCACCAAAAAAGGTTCATCTTGAAAATATCACCAAAAACTCCCCATTTTCAAATTTGATGGCATTACAGACAAAAGGTCACATAATGTATGATCCCATTTGTATGAAAAGTCCAGAACAGGAAAATTCACCAGGACAGGAAGATTAGTAGTTCCAGAGGCTGGAGGGAGAAGGGAATAGGGAATGACTGCTAATGGGTACATGGTTATATTTTTGATGAAAATGTTCTGATATTAAATAGTGGTGATGACTGCACAGCTCAGAATTTACTAAAACTTAATGCACTGTATACTTTCCAAGAATGAATTTTATGATATACGGACATTTCAATAAAGCTAATATTAAAAAATTATATCTAAATTTAAAAAAATAATCTGAGAGAATTCAAAAGGTTAACTTATACTACAGTAGACATCATTCGTAGCTTTCCACTAGTTGGAAGTTTCTTTTTACCTTGGCAAGGCGGCTCATCTGATCTTCTGAAAGAGTACTGCTTGTTCTGCCAGGAGTTTTTGTGGGTTCTGACCCATCTGCTTCTACATTAGGCCAGACTTTCAAGTCATGCATCCCTTGGCGAAACATGCTAGGCAAAAAGAGAATGTTCAGGGTAGAAGTAAATCAATGCAGTTCATTACAGGACATTTTCAATCCCTAAACAGAGAGAATTCCACACTAGGAAATGCATGTCTCTCTTGCCAACCTTTAAGCCTCCAATGAGTTGTAATGCAATTACTAAGCAGCTAAAAATCTATGTCACACTACTTTTCACATGCTATTCTTCTCTCCTCCAAGCAGTCAGAACTTTTACAGAGATCCTAAAGGTGGACTGGGCAAACACTTAGAAAGATCATAATGGACCATACACCTCTTCATAACTTCAGTGGAGATCTTGGAATAATGGAGAGCAAATTGCGACCCAATGAAAGAAAGTCACATTTACAATGACTGAAGCAAAATTTAAATAATTACATAACTGTCTACTTTACGTGACAAGTCAGCATAGAAGACTGCACAGTCTAACTGCTGGGTTTTGAATCCCACTTGTGCCACCTATTACCTAAATGACCTTGGGTAAATTGCTTAACTTCTCTGTGCCTCCGTTTCTTAACCTATAAAATGGGATTATAAAGAATGGGCTATTATAAAAATTAAATAAATTAGCACAAGTAAAACGTACTTCAATAGTACCTGCCACATAATAAGTATTCAATAATGTTAACTGCTGTTACTAGGTACAGGTTGATTCTCCTGTCTTCTTTCCTGTAAAAGCAATGTCTAATGGAAAATACAGTGGTGGATTTATATAAGAAAAAGTTTCCATGTCTACAAAATATATAACCAGAACTTCAATCTGAGCTTGATTATCTCTTTAAAATGAAACACTTAATAATCTTTGATTGTCCTGCTTCCTTCAAAAAACTACCAAGATGTAGACTACAGGTTGAACAAAGCCATAAAGGAAGTTTGGCCAACTGTGTTTTTATAGATAGGCTAATGTCACATTTCTGAGTTTGTTTGTTTTTTTATGGAGGTGGGGGTAAAAATAAAGAAAGTCTTCTGTTAATGTGTTCTTTCTTTTTTAAGTGTTTGGTGTTTCTTGTGTTTGTTTTTTTTTTAACAAAACTGTTCAGACAATAGCATTATCCCAAAGCTGAAAGAGCAAGCTGCCAATGGTGGTGGAAAGAATAAGACTGTAGGTAAATAGGCAAGCCCAAAGCATTTTGTTCTCACATTAAATATTTTTAAAAGTAAGGCACATGTTGTATATTTATTGATTTTTTTCTGATCTTTAAAAACATTACACTTTAATAAAAGTTTTACATACATTTTAAAAACTATTATTATCATGCTTTGACTAATGGAAACTTTCTTCACAGATTTTCCTGGAGTAATAAAGAGGATTTTCACAGAACATTATGCAAAGTAATGATGCCATAAACATTTAGATGGAGAACTATAAAGGAGAGCTGCAAGCTCATGAGCACAGTAAGATTAAAGCACATATCTGTTGCAAGGTTTAGTTCTAAGGTTGGCAGTAAACAGGTAATATCCAGCAACCATATCTGTGAAAGTTTACCTTATAGGCCCAAAACAAATGCACTGACTGTAGTAAAGAATCAAAAACCTTAATATTTACCATGTTAGAGATTCCAAAAAATTTATGTTACAAAAAACACATATGCAAGCCTTTCATAAAGTATATTTTCATTCCCTTCCAACTAAGTATTAGATTCAACATCAAGCAACCCTACTTAGACTCTAAGAAACTGGGTAGAGTGAGGCTGTAACATCACTTTAAATGATTATCCTTAAATGTACCTTCAGAAATATCAGAAGGTTCCCCTTCCTTTTCTCCATCTTCCTATACCCCAGTGAATATTTTGGCTAAACTTAAATAAAAATATAAGTACGTCTGGCAGGAAGTAAGTTTACTAAATGATTTAAGTGCCTTGGAATGGATCTGGAGAGAAGATTTAAGGACAGGGGACATGGAGGGCAGGGGTGGTAGCAAGTGACTCAAATGATCAAGTGAATATATTTCTTTTGACACTGATGGAAACTTTGTAGAGAGTTATGCAGCATCCAGGTGGCAAGCCAGAAGATGCTCAGAGCATCCTGTCCAGCTGGGAAATTAAGCCAAGCAGGCAAGACAAAAGGAAGCACAGCAGGATCCCCTCCAGATGCCTGCAGAGGCCCCAGCAACAGCTGCTGTTGCTGCTCCAGCTCCCATGCCAAGCCACTGCAACAGCAACTGCCCAGACCTCAGAGTTCACATTTGGAAAAAGTATCTGCAAGAGAAATCTGCAGCTTGCCTGTAGTTCTTTGCCAATTCAATCTAACTATCAATCCATTCCTCACCCCCTTAGAAATCTTACAAGCTAGACATTCAGAATGAGGACAATTAATTATTCTAGTTATATTCTAACAGATTAGTCTTTCAATACAATTCCCCAAGAAGTATAGCTTCACACTGACTCAAGTATACAAAAGAGATATCAGCAAATAGCAGGAGCTGATAGTCACAAGACTCCCAATACTATAATGCAACTATTAGGCACTTTGAGGACCACTTTTTAAAAGCTACTAAGCCCACACCAGGACTACTTAGGGAACACAGTGGGGAGCATCTGGTGTTATTTCATTGTTTAAGAAACATTTGAGGAAACTACCGCTTCCCTAAGTCATGAGAATGTGGAGGCACGTAGCATGATTTTTATTTTTTTATTTTTTATTTTAAAAAAATATATATTTTATTTATTTTGTACAGAGAGGAAGGGAGAGAGATAGAGAGTCAGAAACATTGATGAGAGAGAGTCATCGATCAGCTACTTCTTGCACACCCCCTATTGGGGATCTGCCCGCAACCAAGGTACATGCCCCTGACCAGAATCGAACCCGGGACCCTTCAGTCCCCAAGCCGACGCTCTATCCATTGAGCCAAACCGGTCCCGGCACGTAGCATGATTTTTAATGGCAGGTGGAAGAACGTGTGCACAGGCTCCTTGCCAAGGCCTCCCAGAAGCCTCCTGCTGCACTCTCTCCCTGGATGTCAGCAGCACAGTCCATGTTTGCACTCTGCTGTAGCCCCTAAACACCCTCAGTGTCCCATTCCCCCATAACCCAAAGCTGCACAGGAAGGGAAGGCCATGCGAGGGACTCCCTGGGCTTGTCTCCCATGAAACCAAGTTCACCCCCAAGAAAAGGCCCAGGACCCAGAGAGAAAAAGGGGTTATTTTAACTGCATAGGTTTTCTATGAATTCCTTTTTCTGAGATGGTCAGTAGAAGCATCAGCCTAGAGAGAATAGGACAGGTTTTTCACATTCCTTCCCCACTGCTCAGAGTATCTATAGAGCTCTATTACTACCTAATGTTATCATTTGAATAAATGCCCTACTACCATATAGGTGTAAAAGGAAATGTCAATGTAAAACCTTATCTTTACCTTAAATAAAGTGACAGTAAGCTGACTATCCCCTTATTTCTTACTAGACACGAATAGAACCATTCTAATTAAAGGATTTTTGGGGGGTAGGTATTATATACATATTTGCAAAGCAAACAGATTTACTATGATTTGTGTTTCTTGTGGGTTTTTTTTTTTGCTTAATGTTGTAACATTTAATTATTTTCATTATATTTACTTTTTTTATTACCCTATCAAAGTTAAATAACACTTATTTTCCATGTACAGCAGTATATTAAAGTCATTACCACTATTAGCAAATTAATGCTTTTTAATCCTACTCATTGTCCTTTTTATCACTATTAAGGCAGAAAAACAAAGTTATCACAGTATATGACATATAGTCTTTTTTCCTAAAAGAAAGATTCTAATTTCCAATACTATTTCCTAATAGGAATCATATTACCAATCACTAACAGTAGAGTCATAAAATTGTGTTTCTTAATTAATCTATCTGTATATCCCATAGGAAATTCAGTCTCAAGCATTATATAGATTCACGTAGCAAACATGTACAGAGAACCAGACTGGCATGAACTTCCCAAAAAGAAAAAGGATGAGACACTACAACATCCCTAAAGATTAGAAGAGAATGCTTACCCGTATTTTCCAAAGAGCGACACTGTTGTCCCACCCACAGGCACTGCCTTTCCTGGCCCATACACATCCCAGACAGTCAGGGCCACTTGGGCATTCCTGGGCAGGTCAGGATACTTCACAGGCAGTTTTAGCCATTCATTCCAGCTATGGAAATAAAGTCAACATAAGCATATGTTATATATTTAAAACTTTCTCCTAAATTAACAAACCATGCAAAAAGTTTGGCAAAAAAACAAAAAAGCCTCAAAGATTAAGTTAATATTACAAAAAATGTGAGTTACCTTAGTTTCACTCTAAGCAACTTCAATTTTAAATACAGAATACATGAAAAAGGGAAAAAAAAAAAAAAAAAAGGCTCATAAAAAACAACACTGGTAAGTCTTTTAATAAAAAATAAAAAAAACTCAGACAATGTAACTAAGACACAAGAAATATGATAATGGCTAATAATAATCTAGGAAAACACTTAAACCTGGTTATAACCAAACTGTGATTTCGTATAAGCATTCCCCAGAACAAAGGTATGAAAAGAAAAAGATTAGAATTAATCATAATACATTCAAAGTGATGCTGAGAATAACATGGTCCTCCAATGTACCCCAATAAGGCAGAAAACAACAAAAGCCTTAAAAAGGTCGAAGTAAACTACCTACTACGTTGTATTGAAGTTACCAGACAGCTCTGGACAGCAATGTCACATTTTCTCATGTGAGATTTTTCTATTCCTTAAGTTATTTCATTAATATGGGTAATGCTTACCTATTAGTTTTTCTATGCTTTTAAAGAATGTTTGTATATATGATTTCCCTAAAGAATGTTTGTTCTTAATAAAGTAATGTCAGCATAGCTGGTTTTATTTTTTTAGTTTTTTTTACTCTTTATTCAGCTTAACAAATTGAACAGAACTTTCAAAAACTTAAAGGATAAATCATTTATATCCACCATATAAATTCAAGGGCCTACAGGAAAATCGGAGATGGCTAGCCATTTAAAGGAGAATCAGTCATTCTTTTCTTCCATAAAAGTCTCGAAAAAATAAATCACACCCTGAAAAAGCTATTCTCCACTACACATAAACTAAAGGAATGAATTTATTTAGTTACTATCCACGGGGTGGACTACGCTGAAAAGGAAAAGACTAAGCAGTGTCTGCCAAGGAACAAACCAGAGATTAACACAGACTACAATTAAAGCAAGTCAGCCAGTGACAATATCCAAAATAAACTGTGAAAATTCTCACATCAATATTTTGTCCTTTGAGAAAGAGACAACATATATAATCAAACAAGCATTTGCCTTAAATCTTTTGCACTCTAACCTCAGGCTTTAATCAAAGCAATGGTACTTGAACCTGTTTTTTATATGGGACTTCTGCAGAAGAGTTCTTTTGAAGAAAATGAAATCTATAGCTAAAATACAGTTTGAAAATTCCTCTAGATATTTTAGGAATTCTGAAAAGATCTAGTCAGACATCAGAAAGTTGTGTATTTTGAATACCATTTTGTTCTCCACTTCCCCATGCATCATTCCTATGCCATCCTTCATTAAGCTCAAGACTAAATTCACCTAATAAAACTTCCACAATTGCCGAGATCTAAAACCTGATTTTGATGGTCTAATCCCACCCACTCCCTCCCTCACTGCACTAATTAAACCACTGTACTAATTCTCTAGTCTGATTAATACACTCCTAAATCCCAACATTTGAATTTTTTAATTATGTTAGGCTGTTAGTGTATGTGTCTCTTTAAAGCCATTTTAAATTTTTAAAAATTAAATCACTTGCCTACACAATAATTTTCATATATAAAAATTTTAAAATTTGCAGAATTCCACATCTAAAAGTGAGAACTTTACCTTAAGTAAGTGCTTATAGAAATTGATAGATATGCAAAGTAAAAAGCCTATCCTATTGTTACCTTACCTACCATGAGTTATGTTCTTTTTTAGTACTTTATTTTTAATTTATTATTATTATTATTATTATTATGTTGTTGTTGTTGTTTTTGTTGTTCCACGTATTTATGAATTCTGTGGTTAATTCTTGCATTGTTGCTTCAAAATAACACTGAGTATATATAAAATAAGATTGGCCTCAAGTTAGTAATTATCAAAGCTGGGTGATGGGGCCTTGAAAGTTTATTATATTCTCTACTTTTACAGACCTGAAAATTTCCAGAATAACAAGTATATACACAAATCTATACTGCTGTGTGTGTGTGTGTGTATGTGTGTTCACAAAAAGACTACTAAAGAAATTACTTCATCTAAATAATTGGTTTCAGTGAAGCCAGATCACCAGAGCTCAGGCTTCTGCTCTCTCTGAAAAAGACTTCCCAGCCTGCTGGGCCTCGCTTGGTGAACAGAGGGTTGTACCCTCAAAACGAGAGTCTGGCAGTCCATGTGGCCACACCTTATGCTCACAGTGCTTCCATGAGCACTGTGGGCATAAGCTCATTCCTGGAGGTACAACTGTGTATTCTGCAGCTAGTCTACCAGGGTAATGAACAACACTCATGGATTGAGCATTAAAACTGCTCCATATAACCTATCAAATTAAGTACCGAGAGGTTAATGAAGGACCCACGATACTGTGGGTTCTGGAAAAACAGGAAACTCATGTTCATTATATGTCCCTTGCATCCTGACAATGGTTTGCTAATGTATCATCTCAATAAAACATGAACTTAAAAAGTTGGTTTCATATAATAAAAATGTGTTTTTGATTTGGGTCCTTTTGTGAATCAGTAAAATTCTCATAAAAATATGTCAATATACTGAATACAAACAAATTTACTTCCCTCTTATCTAGGTCAATCAGTGTTTACAAGTATTAAATGATTTTTTTTAATTCCTCTGTAATCACTACTAAATCATACTTACATCTATAAAGACTTGAGAGAACAGTGGAACTCACCATGTGCAAGAAAACAACTTACTTCCATCTTGTACTAAATGCTTTGTAGGATGTCCTCACTGGCAAGGCCAGAGGTTTTCCTTCTGCAAAAACTTGACAAGTAACATAAAGGTCAGAGCAGGTCTCTTGGTACAGCCCTGAAAACTTCAACATTGGGTCTTCTAGAACAGCTTTATAACTCTTTTGTTCTCTCTTCCCTTCCAAGCTTCCTCTGGAAGTATAAGAACAATAATGTTTAGACAAACATTTTTTAAGCATATAAGCAACAAATACTAAAGTTTATAACTGTGTCACAGCAACCTTATGCTACCTAAATATTTTCCTGTATATGAAGTTAATGAATCTTATAATTCATTAACTTCATATATGAATCTTAAAATCCTAACATATCTACAATCATTTCTATCTTCATCAATATATTTCTCTATCTTAAACTTATTAATTTCAAATCCTGTCATCAACTCTTGGTCTACCTTCCAGACATCATGAGCTTTCCAGGCCTTAGTTTCACTTTTACTAATTCCAAGTTGAGCACTTATTTATCTACTAGAGGCCTGGTGCACAAAATTCATGCATAAGTGGGGTCCCTCGGCCTGGCAGGCAATCTGGACCTATTGGGGCCATCTCGCCCAGTTCCAATCAGAGCCAGGTTGGCCAGGGAAAGGGACGGGTGTGTGTGTGGGGGGGTGGGGAGGATGGGGGGGGTGGGTGTTTGGTTAAGGGGGGGGGCGGCATTGTGGGAGGTTGGCTGTGGGAGCACACTGACCACCAGGGGACAGCTCCTGCATTGAGCATATGCCCCCTGGTGGTTAGTGTGCATCATAGCGACTGGCCAACTGGTTGTTCTGGTCGTCTGGTTGTAATGGTGGCTTAGGCTTTTAGATAGATAGATAGATAGATAGATAGATAGATAGATAGATAGATAGATAGAAGATAGATTCTTTCAAGCCATGTATAGTACTAGGCATAGTGGCCCAGAAATGAAAGACAAGATAAACAATACAGCCCTATAAGAAATGTTAAGTCCTTGTTTCTAGGACAAACACTTTTATTTGCATATTCTTTTTTTTTATTTGCATATTCTTTTTGTATTTTTTCAATTTTTAAAATTTATTTACTATGTGGATGTATTATCTGATAACTTCTTTAAATTAAAAAGTAATAAAAGATAGGCATAGGAAACTATTATATGAAAGAAGTAGAAACACCAATTGGAAATCAAAATTGTAACCATGTTCTCATTTTGTAAGTGATGAAACAGGGACTCAGAGTTCAAGGATCACGAAGTAACAGCTGAGAATAAAAGCCAGGGCAGACAAGGCCAAAGCCAATGTTCTTCCCACCACAGAAAGATCCTGCACATCGAAAGTTTGGGAGCTTGGGGGCTCCAAGTCCCAGAAAGAAAAAAAGAACAGCCTGGACCACAGCAAAGAGAAATATGGCATGTTTAGAGAACTTCAAGTTGTTTGGAATAGTTAAAGCAGAAAGCTCAAGCAGGGAAGAAGCTAGAGAAGGAAAAGGGAGGAGGGGGCAAACGAGGCTAAGCGGTCACCAAATTCAGTCCAATGCCTTACACATGAACATTCGAAAATCTAACTGAATAATTTGACATGAGAGTACTGCAGTCGGATTGGTATTTATGATACCTTTAGCAGGAGTTTCAGAACATAATGGACAGGTGTAACTGAAAGCCAGATCAGTTAAATTTTCATTAAAAATTATGAAGGAAAAAGACAGGTTAAGGCTAGAGCAGTGGGGTAGAAAAGATATTTAGCCAGTAGATTCAAGACAACTTGTGAATGATTTAATAAAGAAGGTAAGAGACGATGTCTGCATGACTCAAAGTTTTGTGTCTTAAACTGGATGAATGTTGCTAATAATCACCAAAATAGGGTGAGACAATATAGGAAGTTCAGAGTTAGAGCGGTAGGCTGAATCTGGGACCAATTACTTTTAAAGTGCTTAGGAATCTAAAGTGACCATGTCTTATAGGCCATTTGATATTCAATTACAGTGCTAAGAAAAGGGACATCAAAGTGCAAGTTGTTATTAAAACCATAGAAATAGATTAAAAGGCCTGGAGAGAAAAAAAAAAAAAACACAACACAACAACACAAAAACCAGAATTAAAAAATTCTCTGATTTTGTGATTCTAAATTGATACTTCCAGCCCCACTCCCACAAAAAAGAAATGACAGTCTGAGAAGCTAAAAGATGGTTAGCACCAAATTTTACCAAACTTTTGATTAATGCTTTATCTTTGCCTTGAAATAGTCAATGTGTGTCTCTGTTAATAATGAACCATTTTTTGTTGTTGTTGTTGTTTCTTTTTAATGTTCATAAGTTCCAGATATACATTAACATGTCCAAGAAATATTGAGAGGAATGAGACTGAAGGAAAAAGCCTTGTACTAGATTATGACATACATACAGGTCCTATATAAGCATCTAGTGGTATTTGATGCAGAAATTAACTTAAATGGGTGTGTAAAGTATTATACAAATGAGCAGTGCATTGTTGGCATATTATTTTTACCACCACCCAAAACAAATAGTAAATTGTCAGAGTCTTATGTAACTTCTGAAAAATAAAAAGAAAGTCAAAGGTGCACCTGACAACTGAGAAGATTTACTGCAGGTATGCAGCTCTCTGACCGAGGAACATTTGTTTACTACCTACTGACATATTACCAATGATGTTATGATGAATAATTGGTGATAACTTTTGCATATGAAAACACTCCTCTATGACTGCCTGAAAGTGGACATAATTTCCCACTCAGTTCTACCTGTATTCCATTATTCTCATCTCAAGATTTCATGCCCTGGCGTTAGCCGGTTTGGCTCAATGAATAGAGCGTTGGCCTGTCGACTGAAGGGTCCCAGGTTCAATTCCAGCCAAGGGCACATGCCAGGATTGCAGGCTTGACCCCCAGTGGGAGGTGGGGGGAAGGGGGTGCAGGAGGCAGCTGATCAATGATTCTCTATTTTCATTGATGTTTCTCTCTCTCCCTCTTCCATTCTAAAATAAAGAAATATATATATATATATATATATATATATATATATATATATATATATATATATATATATATCACGCCCTGAACCTTTACTTCAACAGTGAAGCCCCAAGATTTCCCTGCAAAGCTCTTTTCTCCCATCTTCTGGTCCCTTTGCAACTGGCACCCTCATCTTTGACTCACTCCCCGCACCTCTAGGGAAGGCATGCTAGACTGTCCAGCCATGCACCCTCATCCTCCGTCACTCCCCGGGCTTCTACTGCTGCACATCCCTGTGCTCATCTCACCCTCAGCCACCGCATCTGCCTGTGTCTACACAGCTCTGCAGGCTTCGCTCCCCCTTCCAGCTCCGGGTGAGAGGAAAGACCTTCCGATTATCAACTGCGGGACTAGACTTTACCCAGACTAGACTTTGCTGCGGGACTAGACTGGACCGAGACTAGATTTCTTCATCTGTAAAATGGGCCAAGGCTAGGGACCCCTCCAGAGGTTGCCGTGCACAGCAACATGCTTTGAAGAAAGTCAAAGGGCGTTGGACTTCAGGGCTTATTCCCGTCGCTCTCCTCCCATAGCACCCTCTCCACGCTCCCACCGCCCCAGGCCGGCCCCCAGGCCCATAACCATCTCTCCCCTCCACCCACAGGCCCCGCCTCCTCCCCGTGAACTCTCGCCATCCCGCCCGGCCCGAGCCTCTCACATCTTCAGCCGCACGTTGATGTCCAGGTCGCAGCTGTAGATGTAGTGGAACTTCTCCGCTTCCCCCATGGCGCCTCCGCCTGCGCAGCACCCACCGCGGAAGCCGACTTCAACCTGCGAAGTCCCACAACACGGGCGCTTCCGGTCCCGCCTCTCGGCCAGGTCGGAGCCAATCGCTGTCTGCGGCGCGACCCAACGTACCGGAACTCCTCGCCCCACCTCCCCTTCTGCGCATGTGCAAAGCAGCCTTCTGTCTGGCTTAGGGGCAAATGGAATTCCGGCAACACAGTCCGTCCGGTTACTTCCCAGACTTTGGGCATTCTTCGTGTGTGGGCGGGACTTTGTTTTGTTTTTAAATAAAACAAGCTGTCATTTGAGCTGGAGCTGTTCCTAAAATTGACCCGACCCGAAAGAAAATGCGTTTCGAAAATAGTTGTAGCAACTTTCACTGGCTACAGGCTAAACCAAGGACAGTCTCAAGAATTAGAATTTTGCCAAGTTTAAATTTCAGTGATCTTTCCAAAATATGTAGATTTAATTAAAAAATTGCTTCTTCAAGCAACGATTTTCTCTTTATGCTCTAGAGAGTGAAGAAAGGACTAGACGCAGAGCAAAAAACAAAAACAAAAAACTTACTTCCAGTTTTGGCATTTATGCTACTTTGGACAAAGCAGTTGGGTGCTTGTTTGCACTGGGTTTATTCAGACCCACTGTATCTTAGAAGACGGAACTCTAGTTGAAACCTATAAACGTTCAGTAATGACTCCAGAACTGAGGTTACTGAACCCTCTGAACTTCTATAACGCTTGTCTTTATAATATTTAATATTACCTAAAATTGTAATCTTGATTTCCAACTAGATTCAAACTTTTTGAAGGCAAGAGTAATGTGTCAATATACTTCTGTACCTGCCACCTTTAGTGCCTAGCACATTAATGAGGCATTAATGCAACAAGAAGGACTAATGTGCCAGTACAGAGGATGATTTTTGTAAGTCATAGAAGCACTGTAAAAGTCATAGAAACCAAAACTAGCAGTGTCTTTCCTGGACCAACCATGGGTCAGGAAAACATTGGTTAGTAGATTTACATATCAGAGCACTCTTAGCAAGGCCATCTTTATAAGGGAAATGGAAGTTTTAGGCACTTTATTATGAAAGGAAAATCATGATATTTTCTTTCCCAGGTGATCTTTCACAACTCATAGCATACACTTATACAACACAACACAATTTGCATTGAAAGAATCCATAGCACAGCCTGTCTTTTAAAAAATAACTTTTGCTCTAGCTGGTTTGGCTCAGTGTGTAGAGCGTCAGCCTGTGGACTGAAGGGTCCCAGGATCGATTCTGGTCAAGGGCACAAGCCTATGATTCTCTCTCATCATTGATGTTTCTGTTTCTCTTTCCATCTCTCTTCTTCTCTGTAATCAAAAAAGATATATATTGTTAAAAAATATACATGGATGTTTCTTTGTGTGGCAGGCTACTTCATTGACAATTTGGTTCCATATTTAATTCACCTTTGGAGTTGCAGTTTTGATTTTGTTTTCCTATGCAATCTTGCTTCAATTTTATGTTTAATTATTCAACTAACAGGTTTTAATAATGGTGAAGAAATTTTTTTTTATAATGGTCCATTCCTTTAAGTGACCCATGACTCTTATAGTGATAAACAGGTTTGTTTTTGTCAATTTCTGTCACCCAATTAATTATCTTTAGCTGGTAATAAAAAATTTCACTCTTAGATTTAAAAAGCTGCCATCTATTATTGAGCTTTCATAAAGAAAAATTAAATGTGCCAAAACCGGTTTGGCTCAGTGGATAGAACATTGGCCTGTGGACTGAAAGGTCCCAGGTTCAATTCCAGTCAGGGGCATGTACATTGCTTTCTGGCACATCCCCAATGGGGAGTGTGCAGGATGCAGCTGATCGATGATTCTCTCATCAATGTTTCTAATTCTCTATCCCTCTCTCTCTCTCTCTGTAAAAAAATTAATAAAATATATTTTAAAAAATAAAATAAAATAAATAAATCTGGTACTGTGAAATTGAAATGATCTCATAAAATTGTTGCTCCAATTTAAAAATTGCCCCTAGGAGTTTTCTAATAACTCCAGGTCATTTAGAATCTAATAACATGGTAGAACAGATAATACTGAGGAAACTTGAAAAAAATCCTACCTCATAAGCCAAGACTCTTGACCATTTGTCAAGTGACATTGTGGAAAGCTATGTACTTGAGAATGTCTACTAGTGATCCAACAAAAACTCATAATGCAATTTCAATCAGCTACAAAAGTGAAAGTTCAAAAGCAAAAGTCTTTTCTGATATTTTAGAATAACATCTTGCTACTGGATGCGCAAAAATAAATCAAGATAAAGCACAGATCAATATAGATGCAGTTCAAAATGATGGTGGCTTGATATTGAGATGCTGATAGTTCCCAGGGAAGGGGGGCAGGGTGGTGTGCATTCTCCTTCTTATAGGTGTGGCTGCCTCTATAATAGCTCTCTGCAAAACAAACAAGGAATGCTATTTTCTCTTTTTCCTTAAAAGCAAAATTCCTCTTTGGATTTCTTTTGGTTAGTGAATACAGGTACTAATGCAGGTCTTAAGTCAAAGTGAATTGGTGCACCTGGAACTTTTGAAAAGTGGGGGATACCCATATCATGATAGAAACTCTTGAAAACACTGTGAAAGAAGAACAGAATAAGGGATAGATTGTTGAGTGTGCTGATTTAACTAGTGTTGGGGAGGAGGGTAAGGTATGAAAAGACTTCTCTGAGAATGCGGTTAGGCTTGCAATGCTGAGATGTAAAAGAAGTTTCTTTGCAGGGGTGGGGGAGAAAGACTGGAACTCTCTCAGGGCCCAGTGCAGTTTTGTAATTCACAGAGTTCATGAGGATAAGTGTTGTTGTTTTGTTTTTTAATTTAAATATTTTGATTGAAGACAACATAAATAATAATCGGACATTTCTCACAGTTTTTTAAATTTACATATCTCTCTCTCTCTCTCTCTCTCTCTATATATATATATATATATATATATATATAGATATATATATATATATATATACTGATGGTTATGATAGTATGAAAAGTAATATAGTGTCCCATATGAGTACATTAGACTGGCTCTTTATATTTGTAGGGTGTAGATGAGACAACGACGGTTTTCAGAGTTAGAAAGGATGAAGCAGAGATCTGAAAAATGAGTAGAAGTTGGCCAAGTGCCTGTGATTGAAAGGAAGAAACATGTTCCTGGAAGAGGAAACAATCTGGGTTTTCTTAAAAGGGGATGAATTGAGAGAAACACAGAAGACAGCAAGAAGGGCTTACAATTGTTCGCCAGGACTGCTGTAACAAAATACCCTAAACTGGGTGACATAAAAAACAGAAAATTACTATCATACATCTTGAGGCTAGAAGACCAAGATCCAGGTGTTTGCATGGTGGACTTCTTCTAGGGGCACGAAGGGAGAAACTAGTTCATGCCTCTCTAGCTTATATTGGTTTCATGGCAATCTTTAGGGTTGTTGAGTTTACAGAAATATCACCCTGATTTCTGCTTTTATCTCTTCATGGCCTTCTACCTGTGTGTGTGCCCCAATGTCCAAATTTTTTTTTAAATATATATAAAGACATCCTTCATACTGAATTAGGACCCACCCTACTTCATTAGGAACTCATCTTAAATAATTATATCTGCATTAAGCCTATTTCTTCTTAAGGCCCACAGCTGAAGGCGGTCAAGTCAACGAGGGGTCTGGGGCCAGGTGAACATCCTGGGGTGGTGATGTCAAGCGGAGAAAGGCTGGTGGGTAGGGTCAGATGCACAGCCTATAGCAGTGGCCTAAACAAGGGGCAGGGGCCAGGTGACCAGCCTGAAGCATTCAAGTGAAGAAGGGGTTGAGGGAGAGAGAAACATAGATGGCGGCATAGGTAAATGCCTAACTGCAGCCTCACACAACAATTTCAAAAAATACAACTAAAATATAAAGTGGACATTATCCAGATCTACAGGAAAGTTGACCGACTGGAAGTTTTACAACTAGAAGGAAAGAGAAAACCAGAAGGAAAATCAGACGAGCTGTAAAAGCCTAAGGTACGAAGACACGGTGTGCAAGTGGGGAGAGGACGGAGCTGGAGAGGAGTGGGAGGCTGAGTGCCTGGCTGGAGTTCCCTAGTAGGAAGAAGATAAAAGCTCCAGACTGTTCTGAACCCCAGTTCCGACTGCACTGAACCCCAGTTCTGGGTGAGACCCTGGGATCCCAGGCACATACAGAGGAATTCTAGGCTCTAAGGCAGAAACTCAGGAAAGTGGTGAAAGGCAGAACCCTGGAATCATGCACATTGCAAGCAGAGGACTGACTGTTGACTGTGCCACTGGATTGCCCTAGCAGGAAGGAGACAAAAGCTCTGGACTGCACTGAACCCCACTTCCAACTGCACTGAAACCCAGTTCCAGGTTCATTCGGGGAGAGACTAGATTGTCTGGTAGCGGGTGAAACTCGAGGGCCCCTTTCTCTCAGAGGTGCTTGCAGCGAGTACTAAAGCACTGAGTACCAAAGGACACTAAAGAACACTGAGACTCAGGAACCTCATAGGGCGGGAAGCCAAGGCTGTAGGCTTTACCCTGAAACTCCTCCCCATCCAAGCTGAGCACAGAGGCTTTTGAATAAGGCTGTCTCCTGGCATATACACAGCTGATCCTCACAGCTAATTGGACTGGAGGTCAGTTTCTCCCAGTGATACCAACAATTAAGACTTAACTACAAAAGGTTGTACACACAGTCCACAAAGGGGTGCACCAAGAGTGTCCACCTCAGATAATTGGAAAGCTGACCCACTGAACCATATAGGACACCTTAACTCACAAAGCCACCCTACCAACTCAGGGAAGCAGTGAAAATGCCGAGAAAAAGAAACAGATCACAAATGAAAGAAATGGAGGACAAAAAGCAACTGAATATAGAGCTCAAAACCACGCTTATAAGGTTTTTCAAGAATTTTCTAAAAAAGGCCAATAAAATAAACAAGACTTATGAGGATATGAAAAGGGATCAA